CTCTGAAGATCGATGCATCTATGTCATATTTGGGGCAGCGGTAGATCAGGAGGTTGAGCAGGCTGTCCAGTAATCGAAAGGTTGTAGGTTCAATTCCAGCTCCAGAGAGAGAATTCTGCTGTTGTGTCCTTGGGAAAGACAGTCAACCCACCTCGCCTGCTGGTGGTAGTCTTTGGGACCTGTGGCACCTGTGCATGGCAGCCTCACCTCCGTCAGTGCGCCCCAGGGCAGCTGTGGTTACATTGTAGCTAATCACCACCAGTGTGTGAATGTGTGTGTGTAAATGGATGAATAATCCGCTGTAGTGTAAAGCACTTTGGAGTCCTCTGACTCTGAAAGGTGCAATACAAGTGCGGGTCATTTATCGTTATCGTTTATCATTTCATAAAAATACCATCGCTGAGCCACAGCTCACTGCAGAAGACTCTGGATAAATGTTTCCTGGTGTGATGAGTCTGAATTTCTGCATTCAACATTCAGATGGTTAGGTCAGAATTTGGTGTCACCTATATGAAAGCACGAATCCATCCTGCAATGTATCCACACGCAATCCTGCTGCTGTAGTCGGAGAGGGATGTTCTTGCCCCACTTTGGACCCCTTGGTATCACCCAAGCATGGCAAAAATCCCACAGCCTACCTGAGTATTGCTGCTTTCCATGTTCATCCCTTAAGTACACACATTGGACACATCTTCTAATGGCTACATCCAGCAGGATAATGCACCATGTCACAAAGATCCTCTCAAACTGGTCTTAAACATGACCATGAGGTCAATGGACTCCCAAAGACCTCCACAGTCACCAGATCTTGGTCCAGTCCAGAACCTTTGAGATGTGGTGGAACAGTAGAGTCCTGACATCATGGACGTTACCATGTCAATATGGACCAGAACTTCAGAATAATATTTCCAACCCATTGTTGAACTTCTATCTTGAAGAATTGAAGCAGTTCTGGTGCTGATGCTGAGGCACATGGTCTGGTTTAGAAGATGACCCCAGAGCTTGTTACAAGATCCTTCTCATCCTGTTTGCTTTTCTATATTTATCTGTAAAAGCATGAGTCTGCTTCCTGGTCAAAAATGCAGTTTTGCAGGAGAATGAATCCACTCAGATTGATGCTTTTACAGTGACATTGTGAAGACAAACAAACAAGTCAGCCAACAAGATAAATAAAGATAGATCCCATTAATTAAGCCAAACTGACTCATCAAATCCAAACACACTTCAGATTATTAGGTTTAATAACGGAAAAATATAAGTTAGTGGATGAACAATGTCCAACTTCTGAGCCAAAGCCATGAACTCTGTCCGTTGTGCCCCTTCCTCCACGATTATGTCCATCTGAACACACACTGGCCTTCAGCAAGGAGGAATTAAACATAAAACATCAGATTAATGTATCATCACCGTGAGAGCAGACGGTGGAACTAAAGCAGAGGAACCGGATCAGGACAGAAGAAGACGCTCTGTTCCAGTTTGTTTGTGACTCTTTGTTAGGATCCCAGACACAAACAAACGAACAAAGCAGGTACAGTCTCATCTCAAACCTTATGACTGCTTTTCTGTTTCATTTCAGAATCTGAAAACACAAATACACGGCTGATCTTAAAAGCTGAGCTTCGATGTGCTCTACAGCTCAGAGATCTGTCCTCGGATGAACATCCAGGCACCAGACGCGTAAACCTTAAGGAGCGCTCGATAAACAGGAGCACTCTGGAAATTTACTCCGAGCGGAATTGCCATTGATCTCAGAAAACAATTCCACTTCCCTTCCTTCTGCAGGAGAATGCTTCCCAGCAAAAAATAGAGCAGCTGGGATGTGAGATGAAAAGGGGGAGTTGGGGGAGGAAGAGGAGGAGATGGAGGAGGAGGAAGAGAGAGAAGGGAGGTCCATGGGGGGAAACACACTCTTGTGATGCTATTCTCCTCTTGTGGACAAATAACTCAGCTGGGACACTCAGATGGCATCCATCAGCTCCTGGAGGTTCCCAAATCGGAGATAGTCTCACTGGAACACCACGCTCTTCCCATCTGGATCCGACTTCCTGATCAGAGTCACCTCCCAGACGAGGAGATAACAGGTACGCTTGATTCTGATGTTTGTATGGAGGTTGAGGAGTTGGGGGCCTGTTAGATGTTAACACCTCCGTCCTCCCCAGCAGGTTTGGGAAGACTCACACTTTCATTCATCTGCTTTTGTTTTTTCTCTTTTATCACTGATAAACTGCTGCAATGGAAACAGGAACAAGTGGACCTCCAAGTGACAAATACGAGGTCTTACCGCAGCAATAAAACTCTGATTTAACATTTTTAAATGACGTGTTCCCTCCACACGGTACTGAAAGTATTTAACTCTTCACAGGAATATCAGGAGCACATTTCTAACCCTAACCCCTAAATAAAATCACTTTAATGACTTTCAGATAATCTGAAGCAAGATTATTTGCTTACTGCATGAACACTGTAACCATAACTGTTGTTTATTTAAAAATGGTTTGTGTTTAAACTGTTTTTCTCTCTTAAAGTAAAATAATTTCAGATTTAATTATTTAAACCACTGGATTATAAGCTTTAATGCTTCAAATCCACAAAATAGCAATTTTCATGACATGCAACCCCAGATTTTTCTGATTAGAGAAACAAAAAGCTTAAAAAATAAATGATTGAGAGACTAAAGAAAACCCATTTCATTTGAAATTCACTTATATCCATTTGTGACCATTTTGTTTAGATTTTTGTAACAATTGTGCTAAAAATGGTAAATGGCCTGTATTTGATATAGCACCTTAGTCCTGGAACCCCCCAAGGTGCTCTACAACTGAATCAGTCATTCACCCATTCACACGCTGACGGGGATGAGCTAAGATGTAGCCTCTGCTGCCCTGGGGTGCACTGATGGAGACAAGGCTATCGAGCACTGGTGCCACTGGTCCCTCTGACCGCCACCAGCAGGCAAGGGGGGTTAAGTGTCTTGCCCAAGGACACAACGACAGCAAAAAATTGAGCGGGGCTCGAACCTGCAATCTTGTCACATGGAATACAGCTTCAGGGGTCTCATTTATCCTGAGATGGACTGGCTCTCTGTCCAGGGTGTACCCCGCCTACTTGCCCGTTGACTGCTGGAGATAGGCACCAGTCACACACGCTAACCAGTCAGCCAAACAGAGATCTCCCCTGTACAAGTAGCCAGGGCGCATGATCAATCTGGTCACAGTGACAGGACACACACACTGTCACAGACGCATGACATTCTGTCTCAATCTGTCCTCCTGCTGATATTCTGCATTCCGTGTTCTGCGCTTCAGGCTGTGTGTGTGAGTGTGCGCGCGTGTGTGTGAGTGTGCGTGCATGTGTGTGTATTTGCACGTGTGTGTGCGGGTGAGGGGTCTTGTTCTGTGTGAAAACGAAGCAGTACAAGTGATAATGCTGCAGGATTTCATAACTGTATCCTTCTCAGCAGCAGCACTGCTGGTGCTCTCCATGTCCAAAATGTGCGTAAGCCACGTCCTCAGTCAACTTCAAGTTGCGCACATTTTTCCGCTACGTTTTCTTTCATAAATCCCAGTTTGCGTGGAAAGTTGCTTACACAGTTTTCCGACCCCGTTTTGTCGTAAGCAAGCTTGATAAATGAGGTCCCAGGTGTTTTTATTTTTCTACTTCAGGAAATCCTCTCATGAACCCCAATGTAGACCTTGGTGACCCACTGTTGGGACCCGACCCCAGCCTTGGAAACCACGGATTGAAACGGAATCTTTTTGAAGGGTTTAATTTACTAAAACAGTGTTTATAAAACTGTATTTATCTTAAAGTTCATTTTGTTCAGTCTTTTATTAAATACAACAAAACATTTTAAGAGGAAGTCAGTTTTTACTTTAAACTCAGGTGCACCATCTAATGAAAACACTTTTTACAAGCCTGCATTCAAGAAATTACAAAATTTAAAGCCTAAAGTATAGATAAATTGTAAAATTTACATTTATGAAACTGCAACATATTTTGAACTGTATTAAATTGTTTGTTTATAGCTTTTTTTCTGGACGTTTCTGGTGGAGTTTACATTCATAAATGAGTTCAGACTCTGATGCTCTGGCGTTGTTACAGCAACCACCATCAACACTGTAAAAAAAAGTCACCATGTCAACGCAATAAAATAATAAGCCAAACAAAACTAGGAGATTTATGTCCATTACCAGGGAGTATCGTTCATCTCTGGCTATCAGGAGTCTCTTTAATTAAAAGCTTGAAAGCAGATTTGTTTTAAATACCAAACATCTTCTGGTTCATCCCTGCAGAAAGAGCTGGCTGTGATTTTGTCTGGCATTCCCCTTCATGAAACACCTTGCAGCTGCCTGCTCTAAACGTTCCAGTGTATTGCCATTTGCAGCTAAACAATAACAAAGGCTGATGACAGGACCGTGGGTCTGTGCACGGCGGCGGGCAGACGAACAGCCATGTAAGGTAGCAGGCAGCACGGCGGCTTCTGCTGGGGTGACTGATGCATGGCGGCCCAGATCCACGCTGATCCGTGGGGTCGCAACAGGTGACTCACATTAGTGGGAGGCGTTCTTCTCTTCATCCTAATTTCCAGGTCACACAGTCCCAGAATTGCTGGCGTGTCATACCAACGCAGCTAAACTTAAACAGGCTCGTTGTTAATTATAATCCCTTTGTGCGGGATATTTACATCATCCAGGAAGCAACCAGCTGCTGCACTTGGAAGACTGGGTGAACTTTTACACGTGAGCTGTCGTCAACAAGCTTTTTCTTTCACAAATAGATGATGCAGCTCTTCTCTCTTTGATTCATATTGTTAAAAATATAAATATAATGCACATTTAAATTAAAATTCCTGGTCAGTTATTTTTTGGGAGGGTCCATTGGTGCCCTTGGCCCCTTCTTGGTGGCACCGCTGCATTGTTAGGCGCCGTGTGGATCCTTTTTCCTCTGTTGATGATAGTCAAAACATGTCCTGAAAATGGGAAGCCGGCCAAGGGAATGTATACCAATCCATCTGATTGCCTGTGTGTTTATGTAGCGGAGCGTGTTCCGGTCTGCAGAACAAATCCGGAGTCAAAAACCAACTGAGTGGTGCTCAGATCTTTAAATCAGACCACACCCTGTTGTCATGTGAAGAAGATATTTTCTGTAAGATCAAAAAAACAGCAACAACAGAGACGCATGTTTATGTGACATTTGGGCTTTCCCACAACTTCCAGATTCCTGAATCTGAGTTGCTGAAAACCAGAGGAGCGTCCGACAGACTGGAGGACTCACTGTGTTCCAGTTGTTTGTTGAGTCACATGAGAAACCATAAGGAATGGTGATTCAGTAGAGAAGCTGTTTGTTCTCTCATCACTCTGTGGTAAGCTACTGTAACATTTAATCAAACCAAAATGACTCTTCCTTATAACTTCTGTCAAGTGAGAGATATTAATAAGACTTTAAAGGGCTGTTGCAACATTTTAACATTTAGTAGCTGAAGGTGTTGAATATTAACAAATGAGGCTAAAAATGTCACATTTGTTCATTACTTTTAAAACCAGCTTATTTATTCCATTTCACGTCCAACAAACGTGATGGTCCACAGGGAAACACGACGGCTCAGCAATAGTCGCCATGAATCACAGAGAATACCTGTTTAGAGCTGACCTCACCGGGAAAAAAAGATGCTTTTAAGAGCAACATAAGTTCAGTGAAACTCGACTGTGACCTCTGGTTCTGACACTCTGCTCCTTTCTATTTTGCGGAAATCGTATAGTTTGAGATTGCTTCCTGTGAGCGGCTAAGGGACAAAGATAAAGACAATGCCTGACAACGGATCCACAGTAAATATAAAAGCTCTTAATCTAAAAAAAAAAGGAAAACTTCACATCAAAGCAGAAAGAGACACATTTCTTTTTCCAGGATCTTCTCTGGGTGTTTCATCTGATCAGAGGATTGTTGTCTTATTGTGTAACTTCCTGCTATTCTGATTGGAGCCTCACTCCCTTCCTTCAGCGCTGAGCTGATTCACTTCCAGTAAACACCATCAGTGTTATCTGTGCTAAACCCTCAGTCGGTACTGTAGGTGGGACCGCGCACCGCTCACCAACCAGCAGCTTTCACGATTGTTCTGAGGAAAACTGCTGCAACCACTTGACGCGCCAGCCTCACACAGAAAGCGATTGATAGATCGTTTTCCATAATGTATACATTTTCTGTGACTTCACCAAGTAAGGAAGTCATTTCAAACGTGTGACGTATTGGAAACTCTCCCAACTATTACACTGAGCCCCTCTTTCTCATAACTCATCCATCATTGCAAAGCTTCAGCGTACAAGTCAGCAGTCACCCCTTTGATGGGTTTTCCTGACCTCTCGATGATGGGGGGGGGGGGGGGGGGGGTTGTAGCACCCATAAAGCTGTCTGGCGAACGGCCTTATAGAGTCATCCTCAGCTGAGACTCGTCAGCGTGTCACTGCCGTGTTTGGGTCGCGACCAGACTCTCGCTGATGGTTGAATCAAGATATGAACCCGAACACGCGAATCTGATCAACACCTCCCAAGAGGTTGGAATCTCTCATCATCAGAGCTGCTGTTGTGATGTCCTGCTCAAAAAGGACAAACGTTTGTTTTTTTATGAGACAAATTTACTGAATCACTTCACATAACTCCTACGACTCTTCTCTGTATCCGGTCCTCCTGGGAACGTTGCAGTCGTGACACAGGATGCAGTTAGTGAACGAGTCACAGGCAGAGGAAGCTATTTTTACAGGATACATGACTTTATACACACACAGCCACGTTTGCCTTGCTTTACTTGTAGGGGGGACCTGTGATTGAGTTACATTCATGTTAGTGTCTGCTTTATGCCTAACCATTACTGGTCTGCTCCTATCCTAAACTCTAGCTAAAGTTCAATCACACCGTACCCCCAAAAGTATTGAGGTTTTCTCATTGTGAGGACTGGCCAAATGCCCCACAATTTCAAAATGTCCCCAAGATACAAGTGAAACGTGGGGAAATTCTCCCCAAAATGTTGTAAAAACAAAGCACACACCTATACACACATGCAAAATCTACACATGTCAATAACAGGTTGTTTTGTTTTTCCCTTGCTCTCTCTGTCCATCCCAGCGCCCTCATTCCCCTCCCAGTCTCCGTATCCCAGGTGTGTGTTCAGACTTTGAGCAGCGATGGGGGACTGGAGTCTTCTTGGGAATATCCTTGAAGAGGTCCAGGAACACTCCACCTCAGTTGGGAAGGTTTGGCTCACCATCCTCTTCATCTTTCGCATCCTGGTGCTGGGCACGGCGGCGGAGTCCTCCTGGGGCGACGAGCAGAGCGACTTCCAGTGCGACACCAAGCAGCCTGGCTGCACCAACGTCTGCTACGACAGCGCCTTCCCCATCGCCCACATCCGCTACTGGGTGCTGCAGATTGTGTTTGTGTCCACGCCGTCCCTCATCTACATGGGCCACGCCATGCACACGGTGCGCAGGGAGGAGAAAAGGAGGAAGAGGGAGCAGGAGGAGAAGAAGGTGGGCAGGGAAGATGAAGAAGATCTAGAAGAGGAGAAGGAGTACATCCAACAGAAGGAGAGTGGAAAAGATGTGTCATCTGATGGGATTGGACGTGTCCGTCTAAAAGGAGCCCTGCTGCACACTTACATCCTGAGCATCTTGATCCGAACAGTGATGGAGGTGACCTTTATTGTGGTGCAGTACATGATGTACGGGGTGTTCCTCAAGGCGCTGTACCTCTGCAACGTGTGGCCCTGCCCCAACCCCGTAAACTGCTACATGTCCCGGCCCACAGAGAAAAACGTCTTCATCGTCTTTATGCTGGTGGTGGCCGGTGTGTCTCTTCTGCTCTCTGTGTTGGAGCTCTACCATCTGGCCTGGAAGAGCATCAGGAGGTGCGTACGCAAAAAGATGATCCAAAAAAAACATCAAAGAGCAATGACGGCAGCTTTGGAGCCACCCCGGCCCTCCTGCACCCCACCTCCAGACTTCAACCACTGTCTCACGTCCCCGAGCTCCAAAAACCCCATCACCTCCATAACCACTCATCCTTTCAACACCAGGATGGCGCTGCAGCAGAACTCGGTCAACCTGGCCACTGAGCGGCACCACAGCTGCGACAACCTTGAGGACGAGGAGGACTTCCTGACGATGAGATACGAGCAGGCACCTGCAGAGCTGCCCAACAACTGCTCCCCGATCTTGCTGCTGCACTCAGGCTACATGAAGGACAAACGGCGCCTGAGCAAGATCAGTGGGACCAGCAGCCGGGCACGACATGATGACCTGGCAGTCTAGTAGTGGAGGAAGCGCTGGACCTTCAGAATCAAAGTCTGAGGGAATAAACGCACTAAGACAGGATTTATTTTTCTGGTGGCTTTTAAAACACACTAAGGCCTGACACAACCAGCAAAGATGGATTAATGTCCAGACTGGAAAAAAAAGGACTTCAAAAACTTCTGGATTGGTGGATAATACATCCTAGAGCTTGAAATACAAAAAAAAATAACTGCAAAAAGAGATGAATAAGAACAGGGTAACAGGCTTGGTACCTGGCTGTTGCACATTTTATGCATCCAAGAACAAAGAGAAAGGATAAGAGGGGCATGATGGGAGCTTTGGAAGTACTGTTTCTTCTTTTAGAAGCAAATAAATCACATACATTTCAATTACTCGTTTGACTACACAGCAGATTTCAACTCAATTACACCAATTTCCGAACTGCAAATATGATTTTTATGCACAAAAACAAAAGGATATCATGTCTGAAACTGTGAAAACTTCCTTTTATTTGAGGAAACAACATTAAAAGTGCCTTGACAAGTCTTTAATTTAAATAAAGGTTTTTGAAATTGTCTTATTTGTTAACTCTTGATCTGCAGCAGTGATTGCACTACTTAGAGATGTAACTTGAGAATAATAACTTAAATGTTGCAGTCACATATCTGAGGTGTGTGCAGACCTAATGAAAGAATGTAACCTTTGTTGTTGTTTTTGTATTATCAAACCGTTTGGGAGGTTTTGAAGCTTAAAATTAAAATGTCCTGCTGAATGCTGTAGTGAAGAGATTTAGCCACTAGGTGGCAACATTGCACTTGAGTTGTTCCATTTTCCTACTGAGGTTTTTGAGTAAATGATACTCCAGATGTATATGAATGTATGTTATTTCACTGTTTATTTCATGTTATAAGTAGAATAACTTAGCTAATAGATAAATGATTTTTACAAGCACTGTTAGAGGGCTGAGTCAGGGCAAACAGGACTTGTGCTCAGTCGGATGTGCAATGTGTTTGGCTCACATTGATTTTCAAGCATTTACTGTAGTTGCTAACCTAAACATAGCAATAAACCATCTATTATACATTGTATCATGTGTTATTAAGATTTCTGAGCCACTTCTAAACCATGTGGTAAATTCTCAAACTCTGTAATCAACAAAGGGGCACAAGCACCAGCTGTGCACTTCTCGCTGTTGCCACAAAGGACCTGGAGGAACCAGATTGTGGATGATGAGGAATATTTACACAGTGTCTGGCAGAACGCTGAGCACAGATTTCCAGCCGCATCCTTTCCATAATTTAACACTGAAATTGGAATTTTAAAAAGTATTCCAATGTTTCTGCAAATCTTTGTTAAAGGATTTAAAGTAATATGAGGATTATGAGTCTCTCTACATAGATTGTGTAAATTTCTGTGTTCATATTCTATAGCTCATAGTCTCTGAGGTATTTGTTGCAGATTCATATTTTATTTTATTTCATTATTTTGACATGTGTAACACATTTGTATCTCATCTCTCTTTGTGTTAGCTGTATATATATACCGTAAATCCTGCAGGCCCGGAGCTTGTCACCTGCTGACAGCAGGCTGCTGTCTTTTCTGAGGGCTGCATCTTGCTGCTCATTATCACGTGACAGCGACTAGTTGATGACAGGCATAAAAAGTCACTATAGTGAAGTCAACTAGTTCATACAACCCCTGCTACTGCTCCCCAGAGTGTTCTGCAGCATAATAAATCAGCACGCTCTCTTTGAACTTGATATCAAATTTTTGCCTCCTCTTCGTCTCTGCACGGTTAAAGTTACCCTCGCGGTCTATCACTGGCAAATCAAAAGTGAGAAGATGACACAACTGCCCCCCGTACTTGCTTGTTTCCACATTCCACCCGGCCACAATAATAGACCGGCCATTATTCACCTCTGCCGACTCCAACACCGGCCAAAATATGAGACCTGGCCGTTAATTGAATACAGGCCAATATTAGAGGATTTACGGTATGTATATATATATATATATATATATATATATATATATATATATATATATATATATATATATATATATATATATATATACACACATACATACATACATACATACATATAAAGGAACAAGACTGGGTTCTAGAATGGCTATTTGGCACCCCCTAGTGGTGATATGTGGTTAGCCATCTGAAAACAGACGGCCAAAAACAAATCAATATATATATATACATTGTGGTTTGATGAAAGGCTTATTTAGAAGCTTCATATCCAAAAGGTGGTTGATAGGTGTTAAAGAGTTCTGAATGTCATGAAGTGTCTGCTGGGGAGTGAGTGGGGAGCTGAGCGAAAAGCTTTGAAGAAGAAGAAGAAAATATCATTTCTATAGCGCCTCTCAAGATAAAAATCATGAGGCGCTTCACAAAAACAAAAAATAAAAATAATAAAAAATGTAAAAATACAAAAAAGCATTTAGAAAATGTTTTAAATTTATTTAAAATGAGCAAAAATAAGCAATTGCGATTTAAAAGAAAAAATGTTAAGAAGGAGAGAGAGTGAATAGGAAAGAGGGAAATCAGTGGATCCTGAGGAAGGTGGAATAGGAGGGGAGAGCAGAATAAAGAGAGAGGGGTTTAAGAAGGTCATACAAATGCCAGCTTGAACAAGTGAGTCTTCAGCTGCTTTTTGAAGGAGACCACTGAGTCCACTGATCTCAGACTCAGGGGGAGAGAGTTCCAGAGTCTGGGGGCCACAGCGGCAAATGATCTGTCACCTTTGGTCTTTAGCCTGGTGCTGCACAACCAGTAGGCTTTGATCACTGGACCTCAGGGACCTGCTGGGGGTGTAGGGACTAAGAAGATCACCAATGTAAGATGGTGCTTGTCCATGTAAGGCCCTATAGACCAGAACCAGGATCTTGAAATGAACCCTGAAGTTGACTGGCAGCCAGTGAAGCTGGAGGAGAAGCGGGGTGATGTGGGTGTGTTTGGAGGACTTGGTCAGAAGCCGAGCACAGGCATTCTGAACCACCTGTAGACGGTTCAGGGAGGTTCTGCTCAGACACGTGAAAAGAGAGTTACAGTAGTCTAAGCGTGAGGAGATGAAGGTGTGGAGAACTGTCTCAAGTTCAGAGCGAGACAGAATGGGACTCAGCTTAGCAATGTTCCTGAGATGGAAGAAGGAAGAGTGAACAAGAGAACTGACATGAGAATCCAGGGTGAGAGCTGGGTCAAAGGTCACGCCAAGATTCCTGACAGAAGGTTTGGTGTGAGAAGCAAGCTGACCAAGAGAGTCTCTGACTTTCGGAACCAGCTTGTCAGGGGCACAGATGAGGATCTCAGTCTTATCTTCATTCAGCTGAAGAAAGCTCCCAGCCATCCAGGTTTTGATAGAGTCTAAGCAGGTGTGTAACAGCTGCAGCTTAGACATCTCATGGGGCTTAAAGGAGATGTACAGTTGGATGTCATCTGCATAAAGATGGTAGGAGATTCCTTTGAAGGAGCTCAGGATGTGCTGAAGAGGAAGCAGATAGAGGAGAAAGAGCAGAGGCCCCAGCACAGAACCTTGTGGGACACCATGGGTAAGAGAGGTGGTGGAGGACCTAAACTTGGAGACGGCTACAGAAAAGGAGCGCTCAGAGAGATAATATGAGAACCACTCCAGAGCAGATCCTGATAGACCTACCCAGTCTCTGAGCCTCTCCAGTAGCAGGTGATGGTCAACAGTGTCAAAGGCTGCAGTCAGGTCCAACAGGACCAGAACAGAACAGTCCCCTGCATTACTGTGAGTCAGAAGGTCATTAGAGACCCTAAGAAGAGCTGTTTCAGTAGAATGAGCTCTACGAAAACCTGACTGGAAGCTATCATAGATGTTTTGTTCATCAAGAGCAGCTGTGAGTTGTTTAGCCACAACCTTTTCCAACATCTTGTAGATCAGGGATTCCCAAAGAGTGGTGCGCGCACCCCCAGGGGTGCGCGAGCTGCCGCTAGGGGGTGCGCGAGGTGAAAAGTGTAATGGCTGCGGAGCTCAGAGAAGTCTGTCATGTGTCACCATTATTGTAGAAACTCATTTGTGGGTGGGCCAAAGAAAAAGTAAGTGGGCACAATAAATGTAATTGAAAACAAGTATATTTTTGCGCGCGCGCGTGTCCTCCACATGTGCCCTAGCTTCATAATAACAATGCGCCGTGCTTCAGCACTCTGGCCTGCGCACGCCGATATGTTTCGTATTTGATCATTTTTAACGGTGTTGGAGAAATCTGAAGGTGGCAAGTCATTCTGGCAGATTGTAATTAACACCCTGTCTCATGCAGGTGTTCTGACGTTGTAAACCTCACACACAGAACATTGTGGATGTAACAAAATAACAAGAAATGATTCCCATTCAAGCTATTGACAGCGCGCTGAAGATCTGAAGTTCAGAGTGCGTCAGTCAGAGGTCAGACGCGTTCCAGCGGAACCACGGCTCACAGGTGCACATGTGAGCACATCTGGGCTGGGCAGAAGTTTAAATAGCGCCAATAACAAGATGCGGTGACGTGAGCGGCTGTGCCGCGCGCGCGTGCGCGCGCACACACACACAGATTCAATAAGCGCGCACGCTGCTTTAACTCCAGTGCGCCGTCAGACTGAAGGCAGAAATGAACGCTGCCTCCACCACGATAAAAACTTTTAAGAGGTTATTTTTCATTCAAGGTCAAATTAAGATATTAGCTTCTGGGATGAGTCGGGTTCGCTACAGCCAGTGACTCCTCATGAACCTGACCACAAGTCCTGTTACTGCAGCATTTGTTATTCCAGTCAGCGTGGCAGCGGATCGCAGATTCAGCCACACCATAAAACAGCAATAAGTCGGTCTGAGGTAAAAGTGAACATCATGGCTATATCTTGTCCCCTATAAACATTTGATTACGCACAAGTAGGTGATCAGCTCAGGTTTACGCAGAGCAGAAGGAAGGAGAGCGCTCTGGCCGCACAGGTTAAACGTTCCTACTTTAAGAAAACCGTTAAATTGCATTGTTTATGTGCTACCTGGGCACTCTAAATATTTATTTAAAATGAAATCAAAGGAAATTGTAATGGTATCGAATGTTTATTAATTACTATTTAAAAAATGAAAGTGATGGGGAATTTTTTTTAACCCTGTCTGTTTAGCTTGACATCTGATATATATATATATATATATATATATATATAGAGAGAGAGAGAGAGAGAGAGAGAGAGAGAGAGAGAGAGAGAGAGAGAGAGAGAGAGAGAGAGAGAGAGAGAGAGAGAGAGAGAGAGCCATGCCCCGATGTGGGGGCGGGGGGGGGGGGGGCGTCGACATGGTCGGGACATAGAAGGGGGTGCGCGGCTAAATAAGTTTGGGAACCACTGTTGTAGATGAACGGAAGTTTAGAGATGGGTCTGAAGCTGCTATGGAGAGAGGGGTCGAGACTCCGTTTTTTAAGAAGCGGGTGGATTACAGCATTTTTAAAGTAAGCTGGGACCTGACCAGAAACCAGAGAAGCATTAATTATAGAGAGCACGCTGGGACCGATGGACTGAAAAGCACTTTTAAACAAAGATGTGGGTAAGATGTCGAGGGGGCATGCAGAGGTCTTCATAGAGTTAACTAGTTTGGTTAACTCGGGCAAAGAAACAGGAGCAAAGCTATCTAGGATGATGGGCCTGGTTGGAGTCGGGAGAGGCAGCGATAAGGCTGAAGGAGAGATGCTAGATCTAACCTTATTTACCACAAAGAAAGACAGAAAGTTTTCACAGTCTGCAACAGAGTGGATGGAGGCTGTAGAAGAGGCAGGAGAGACGATGCTGCTGATGGTATTAAACAGCACCTTGGGGTTCCCTTTGCTCTGGGACACTCCGAGCCCCTCCCGAATGACCGAGCTTCTCACCCTATCTCTAAGGGAGAGCCCAGCCACTCTTCGGAGAAAACTCATTTTGGCCGCTTGTGTCCGCGATCATGTTCTTTCGGTCACTACCCAAAGCTCATGACCATAGGTGAGGGTAGGAACGTAGATCAACCAGTAAATTGAGAGCTTCGCCTTCTGACTCAGCTCTCTCTTCACCATGACAGACCGGTACAACGCCTGCATCACTGCAGATGCAACACCAATCCGCCTATCAATCTCACTCTCCAGTTTTCCCTCACTCATGAACAAGACCCCAAGACACTTAAACTCCTCCACTTGGGGAAAGACCTCATCCCTGACCCGGAGAAGGCATTCTACCCTTTTCCGAATCAAGATCATGGTCTCAGATTTAGAGGAGCTGATTCTCATCCCAGCTGCTTCACACTCGGCTGCGAATCGCTCCAGCGAAAGCTGAAGATCACGTTCTGATGAAGCCAACAGGACCACATCATCTGCAAAAAGCAGAGACCTGATCCTCAGGCCACCAAAACGGATGCCCTCCACACCTTGGCTGTGCCTAGAAATTCTGTCCATGAAGGTTATGAACAGAATCGGTGACAAAGGGCAGCCTTGGCGGAGTCCAACTCTCACTGGGAAGGAGCCCGACTTACTGCTGGCAATGCGGACCAAGCTCTGACACCGGTCATACAGGGACCTAACAGCCTGTACCAGAGAGCCTGGTACCCCATACTCCCGGAGTAGCCCCCACAAGGCTCCCCAAGGGACGTGGTCAAACACCTTCTACAAATCCACTAAACACGTGTAGACTGGTTGGGCAAATTCCCACGCACCCTCCAGGATCCCCTTAAGGGTATAGAGCTGGTCCAGTGTTTCACGGCCAGGATGAAAACCACATTGCTCCTCCTGAATCTGAGGTTCAACAATCCGACGGACCCTTCTCTCCAGAACCCTTGAATAGACCTTACCAGGAAGGCTCAGGAGTGTGATCCCCCTGTAGTTGGAACACACCCTGCGGTCCCCATTTTTAAATAAGGGGACCACCACCCCGGTCTGCTAGTCCAGTGGGACTGCCCCCGATGTCCACGCGATATTGCAGGGCCGCGTCAGCCAACACAGCCCCACAACATCCAGAGCCTTAAGGAACTCCGGGCGGATCTCATCCACCCCTGGAGCCTTGCCACAGAGGAGCTTTTTAACCACCTCAGTGACCTCAGCACCAGAGATTTGAGAGGCCAACTCAAAGTCCCCAGACTCTGCTTCCTTACTGGAAGACGTGTTGGTGGGATTGAGGAGGTCTTCGAAGTATTCTGCCCACCGATCCACAACGTCCTGAGTAGAGGTCAGCAGCACACCGTCCCTAATATAGATAGTGTTGGAAGCGCACTGCTTTCCACCCCTGAGGCGCCGGATGGTGGACCAGTATCTCCTCGAAGCCATACGGAAGTCTTGCTCCATGGTCTCACCGAGCTCCTCCCATGCCCGGGTTTTTGCCTTGGCAACCACCCGAGCCGCGTTCCGCTTGGACTGCCGGTACACGTCAGCTGCCACTGGAGTCCCACAGGCCAAAAAGACCTGATAGGACTCTTTCTTCAGCTTGACAGCATCCTTAACCGCCGGTGTCCACCAGCTGGTTCGGGGGTTGCCACCATGACAGGCACCGATGATCCTGCGACCACAGCTCCGGTCAGCCGCCTCAACAATGGAGGCACGGAACAGGGTCCATTCATACTCAATGTCCCCCGCCTCCCCCGGAACATTTTGGAAATTCTGTCGGAGGTGGGAATTGAAGCTCCTTCTGACAGGAGACTCTGTCAGACGTTCCCAGCAGACCCTCGCGATACGTTTGGGCCTGCTTGGTCTGACCGGCATCCTCCCCCACCATCTGAGCCAACTCACCACCAGGTAGTGGTCAGTTGACAGCTCCGCCCCTCTCTTCACCCAAGTGTCCAAGACATGCAGCCGCAGGTCAGACGAAACAACAGCAAAGTCGATCAGCGAGCTGCGGTCTAAGGTATCCTGGTGCCAAGAGCACATATGGAAACCTTTATGTCTAGGAGAGATGAGGAGGGGAGTAATAAAATTAGTGTGTGGGCTAAATAATAAACAGAGTGCTGTGTCACTATAAAACAAGGGATTTATTACAAAAGGAATGGAATATTTACAAAGAATTAAAAAGCAATACTATATACAAAACCAAAGGAGCAATATTTAATAAGGAGAAACTAAAAACGCCAACCCAGAAGGGGATGGGGGTAAACAACCGAGAATATACTATTTACACAAAAGGGGAGATCCAAAGCCTAAGTCAAATGTGGTCCAAAGTCAAATTGCCAAATTGTCAAATCCTAAATCCAAATCCAAATCCAAAAACCGAGAGCACCGAAGACTAATTATGACGAGTTTTACCAAAGAGCGAACGAGGAGAAGAGAATAGAATAAACTGTTTCCTGTCTACTCTACCCTTGGACCTTCTCCTGAATGAGGGTAAGAGGGCAGCTTTTACCAGCTGCTCAGGTGATTTTCAAATTACCCACAGCTGGGCACCGGGAGACAGTCGAGCCAGAAGCCATTGAGGCCATCTTGTGGCCGAAAAGGGGCACTGCACGTAACATGTCTGAACATGGTGTTCATTATGGACAATCCATGACTGGCACAGAAGTCCAATAACAAAACACCACTCAAATTCAGATCAGGGGGGCCGTTCCTCCCAACCACACATCTCCAGATCTCACTGTCGTTGCCCACGTGAGCGTTAAAGTCCCCCAGCAGAACGAGGGAGTCACCGGAAGGAGCACTTTCCAGCACCCCCTCCAAGGTCTCCAAAAAGGGTGGGTAGTCTGAACTGCTGTTTGGTGCATAAGTACAGACCACAGTCAGAAACCATCCCCCCACACATAGGCAGAGGGAGGCTACCCTCTCATTCACTGAGGTAAACCCCAACGTACAGGCACCAAGATGGGGGGCAACTAGTATGCCCACCCCTGCTCGGCGCCTCTCAGTGGGAGCAACTCCAGAGTGGTAGAAAGTCCAACCCCTCTCAAGGAAACTGGTTCCAGAGCCATGCATTGAGGTGAGTCCGACTATATCTAGTCGGAACCTCTCAACCTCACACACCAATTCAGGCTCCAGAGAGGTGACATTCCATGTGCCAAGAGCCAGCTTCTGTAGCCGAGGATCAGATCGCCATGGTCCCCGCCCTCGACTATCACCCGTCACACACTGCACCCGACCCCGTTGGCTCCCCCACGAGTGGCGAGCCCATGGGAAGGGGGACCTATGTGTCCTCTTCGGGCTGTGCCTGGCCGGGCTCCATGGGTGAAAGCCTGCGCCACCAGGCGCTCGCCAATGTGCCCCACCTCCAGACCTGGCTCCAGAGGGGGGCCCCGGTGACCCATGTCCGTGCGAGGGAACACGGTTTCCATTTATATAATTCATCATAAGAGGTCTCTGGGCTGCTCTTTGTCTGATCCCTCACCTAGGACCTGTTTGCCGTGGGTGACCCTACCAGAGGCAGAAAGCCTCAGATAACTTAGCTCCTAGGATCATTGAGACACTCAAACCCCTCCACCACAGTAAGGTGGCAGCCCAGGGAGAGGATTAACACAAGGATTAACATAATACTGTGCTGGTTGTAGGGATGCACCGATACTGGTATCGGGATACGATACTGGTATCGGTATCAGTAAAAGTTAACCGATACCAGGAACCGATACCAATGCAGTTGCTTGAAAATGGCTTCACTGTAACTTGTCATTTCTGTTCACCTAATATTTTAGTTTTGTGATGATTTTTATTCATATATTTTACTTTTTATTTACCTCGCAGTATTTTCCTGTTGAAAGCAAAGAAGAAAATAAAATCTGTATTCCAAATCATTGCATTTTTTGTGTGGTAGAAGTATAGGTATCTGTAATCGGTATCTGCGAGTATTCTGATCCAATTATCGGTATCGTATCGGTTTGGAAAAAAGTGGTATTGTTGCATCCCTTAGCTGGTTGTGGATTGTTGTTTGCCATTGTTAGATTCTTTTTGTACATTTTGTTGTGATATTGTGTTTCCCTAGTTTGGCTTCTGGTATTAGCCTTATTATTTCTTTTATTTACTTCGTTATTTCTTTAGTGTTTTGGTATTTGGTGGCATTTACTTTCAAGAGGTCCACACTCCACTCCAGTAGGTGGCAGTAATGCACCTAAGCATTACTTGCTCATAACCCCCGTAAAACATAAAGAAGAAGAAAGTGAGAGCGGAGAACTAGCAAGTAAAAAAAAACTGCCCAATTCCGCTGTGGGCAGCCTGAACCTCGGACGCAAAAGGTGGCGTCGTGGCCGCTATACTCAACTGTTTTTTCACAGAAGTCCAGCTCTTCCGAACATGTGAGTAGACCATCGACATTAATATAGGAGTAGACATATGCTCTGTCTCAAGCTGACCGGGTGAGCCACTTTATGCAACTTTTAGCCACTTTTGTAGGTTTTGCTGAGTTTTATTGGTTTTGGTGATTTTTTTCTAAATGTGTTTTGCATGTGCACGTTTCTTTGACATTCGCGCAAAAAAAGCGCTTGAATTAGAATAAACTTCCTCCACAACAATCCGTTTATCTTGCACTGCGTCCCGCGGTCCCGCGCGTCCCTGCATGGAAAGCTGCCTGCCACAGGCTTTGAACTCCACTCCAACTACCCCTGGCCCGGCTACTCTTGAACTCGGCTCGCCAACACGCGGTCACGTGGTGCATGCAGGATCTGCGCTGCCTATGAGCGGCTTCTGACAGAACTGAACGCTAAAGCGACTCTTTTCTCATTTCTACAGTGATTTCTTTTTGTGATTATTGACCAGTAATGTGTACTGATTAAGGCACTGACTATGTATTTTATCAAAGCATTTAAGTGTTGGAGCAGCACGAGCAGCATTTATCAGTTTTACATTTTAGAGGGCAGCCAGACTGCAAACATATTGTAGAATACATTGTAGTAAAGATCGTCTTTAGCAAAAATAAGTATAATTGTGTATTTAAAAAAGTGTTTGTAAAATACACTGATCAATGTAAGGATTTTATAATATGAGCTTTCTGTTCTCTGCATCCTAGCATAGACCCTATACTTTATGTCCTAATAGACGTAAAGATGTCAATGGTTCAGATCTCTGCTCCTGCTTACCTTCAAATCTACACCCTCAACAATGCATGAGTCAGTGTTTCCAGGATTTAGTCCTATAATCTTCAGTCTGTTTCTTCTCCCTGCCTGCTGTCAGATGAGCTGATCGAAGTTAATTTAAAACAAGTTTTTAAAGACTTGGAGGTAAACGTGTGGCTTTAGATGCTTTAACTCACTATCCAAAATGAACTGCTTTCTGTAGCAGACGTAATTGTTCTACTTTTCATTAATTTTTCATGTGAACGGAGCACAAGCATCTACAACCAGTGATTGTGCTTCCAGCATAACTAGTGTAGTAACTATGGTTAAAACCTTATTAGATGACAAAATAAGTGTGAGTCAGTTGTGCAAAACCAAACATTTTCATATATTTATTTATTAAAATCCAGAGATAACAATAACAGAAAACTGTGTGATAAGTTTAGTCTACATTAACATTTTCAGTCAGGAATTAACATGTTTTACTCTGAAATACACGAGAACCCATAAAAGAACTTCTGCTCAGTGAGCTCAGCAGGCTCCAGACTTCTTCAGGACACAGGACCCCTCTCTCTGACATCACAACCCACCAAAGAAGACTGCAACACCTTCAGCTGGAACCAGGCATCCGCTGGTTTCTTCATGGAGCTCCGAGATGTGATGGATATTCTAGAGAGAGAAGCAAGTCTTGTAGGAAGCTGCAGTCTTGCTGTGTAAAGTCAAATAAGCAGCAGATTCATCAGACTGAGATTAAGATTTACAGCTAAACATATCTGTGTGCTGTCTAATGAAGGGCATGTTGGAAATAAAGCCAAAAAAAAAAAGATTGATGGATCTTGCACCAAAACAGGCACACTCCCACCAACCCCTGTCAATTGTTCACTTTGTTACAATTGCAGCCGTTTGCTAAAATCAATGAAATTCATTTTTCTCCTCATTAATGTACACACAGCATCCCATATTGACGGAAAAACACAAAATTGTATGCAGAGTTATTAAAGAAAAGCAGTTGCCTTGAAGTCACTCCTTTGTTATTTTAGCTGCGTGCCGCTAGAGACCGGTTTACCGTGATTTTATGTTTATTGTTTGTTTTTTTACTGTTTTCTAGATGTCGCCAAGGAAGCGAGTGGTCTGTCCCTTGTGCTCCTGTCTGTTTGCAGCCTTGTCCAATCACCTGCGTGTAACCCATGGCGTAAGGAATTTGGAAGAGAGGACTATTCTCCTTAAACTGGCGGGGGGGCGTGTCTTTGTGAGCAACGAACCATGCCCAATTGATGCCTGTCCTCTGGAAAGGGCGTGTCTGGACCGACACCTGAAAACGGGCCACCCCGAGCTGCCCTATTTGGTCAGAATGGAGATCCTGTCCAATGTTAAAAGGCGCGTTGCGCTCAGGCAGCTGCGGCTCCTCCGGCGGTCGGAACCGCAACCACCCATGAACTCTACGCTGGATCAGGACGAGGATCCGGGCGAGGACCCCAGCAGCGTTATCTATGATGCCGTGGCCGCCACAGCTGCGCCCGCAGAGGTCAGGCCGGGCTGCTCTAGCTGTGAGCAGCTAGCACGTGAGCTCAGGGCCCTCACCCTGGAGCTCAGCTCGCTGCGCTTCAAATACTGGAAGATGTATCGCCTACACAAACGGCTCGGGTCCAGGGTGGCGCGTCTATCCCGAAGAACAGATGACGACGGAGACGAGGAGAACGAGAGGGAGGAGCGGCAGCAGCAGGACAGGAGCACCTCTCCCACAGTCGTAGGGTTTTAAAATTAATTACCATTTTTCAATATTAAGTGTCATTGAACTGGATGATTAAAAATAATTATATTTTTGTGTGTTTCGGTCTAGTCTCCTTCCACCCAGTCTACTTCGAGGAGTGGGTCAAAACAGGGTGCTGTCAGGGTCGAGTCCTCTTTGACCTCCACCAGCACACACGCTGGTAAGAAAAGAACCAAACTCATTTAGAAGATTTGAGGAAAAAAGAATTTGCAATCAAAAATGTTTTTATCCATTTAGGGACCCCCTCCACCTCCTCCCATTACACCGGACTCCCAGTCGTTACCGATGTTTGTTCCCTGTCAGTGGAAGCCCAGAGGTAGGAAGCTCTACCTTTGTAAGGTTTAATTCTACAGGTTCACTGCAACATAATTAATATAAATCATGTTATTTATGCTGGTCAGGGGGAAACGACCTCAGCCTGTTATTCCCCAGGTTACGTCAAAAAGACCAAGAAAAAATGTCTTCTGTCAGAAAGCCTCAGCTGGAGATCTGAGCTGGAGATGCTCCTCTGTGCCTGAAGAAGATGATGATGATGAGGTAGTTACCTTGGAGAATACAAGTACCCCTAAGCCACAAACGCCTGCTCCAAGCATTAATGAAATCAAGAAAGAGGAGGAGGCGGCGAGCGAGTTGGATACCGCCGCAGGTCCGAGCACACGGGTGGTCAACAGCTCCACCCAAACAGCAGCTTCCAAAGTAAAACTAGAAACAGAGAGTCAAAGCCAACCTGGAGGGAGGGAGAAAGGGTGCAGTAACAATGGTGCCATGTTAGACAACACAGACACCCCCGTCCTCCAGCAGGAGAACGGGGAATCCAGTCAGAGTGGGAATCAAGGAGAGCAGTCTTTGTCCAACGGAGTGACACACATGGAAAATGATGAAATCGCTGAACCTTCATATGCTCCCCTTTTCGCTGACATCTCTGTGGTGCAGAAGCAGCAGGATCAGCTGCTGGAGCTCATGCAGGACACGGCTCAAGAGAGGGACCGTGTAAAAGAGGAGGTGCAAATACTTAACACCCGGCTGCAGGAGCGGGTCAGCGTAAAGAGTGAGTGCTCTCATCAAGCCTGCCAAACAGAAGTCCAGAAGGACTACAGAAGTCTCTTTGAGAAGGCCAAGAAGAAGGTTCACGATTTGGTGAAGGACAAAGAGTTTTTATCAAACGCTGCTGACATCAGTACCGGCGCTAATGCTGCTCCAGGTGAAGAACCAGATGTCCAAGAGATTTCTCTGCAGGTTGGCGGTCTAGTTCGTGAACTGGATCAGAGAGAAAAGAAGATGGATGAACTTCGCTCCAAGGTTAGGGTCCCAGCTTTGATTGGGGCTGAATTTAGTTATTGAACTACTCTTGAGTGCAGATGTCCTAAATTCTGTTACTGCTTTCTAAAGCTGGTCTGCTTTTCTGCCCTCTTGGGTGTTTTTTTTTCTCTGGCTTCACCAACAGCTGGTCAGTCTGGAGGAGGAGAAGTCGGCTTTAGCGGCCCAGTGTGAAGAGTTCAGGTCAAGTCTGCAGCAAGAACGGGAAACCGCACAATCAGAGGAGGCTGGAGGCTCAGCAGGCTCTGGCTCAACGTCAGAGGACCACGAAAGGTTGGACTGCTGGCAGATCACTTATTTCATGTAGGTTTTAAAGTATGTTTTTTTATTTGTTTAGACTTAAACATGCTTCTTTATTTCCTCGTTCCTATAGTTTGATCAGGCTTCGAAAGAACGTTGGGATTCGTCTCGTCTCCTACATCCCAGATCTGGATTTGGAGCAAGTGAATTATGATTGTACCATCATCGATGAGATCCTGGAGCAGTATGTTAACCGTAGTTGGGATTTGGATGCTGCTTTTCCTCCGTTCACCCTTTGCTGAAGGGCCGAAGGAGACTCCAAACAGAATGGACATCTTCATAGTTCCAAAGCTTCCAACCTCTGGACTTGTAAAACTTCCAGCTTGGTTCTATAGCTGAAGAGAACTTCACAGGTGTTCTGTAGTTTCATAAGAACGTCAGGTCCATCTGGTTTGAGTTTTCAGCTTGTACTTCAGTCTTAGTTTGTGTTTTTGTCTGAGTTCATTTAACTGCAGCAAGTGGATATTTTCAACTAATTGTCAAACCAAAACTTTGATGGCTGACGTGTGTGAAATAATCCATCTTGCAGCCCTAAACTTACACATTTTCAGTTCAAACTGTTGAAATGTTAATTTTGTGTGAAGCTCAGGGAGACTGTTTCTGTTGCATCTGGGATGTTTTACTCTAAGCCGTTTGTGCTATTTAAAAAAAAAACATTATTGTTAAATCACATTTAGTTTGTCATAGTTCTCACACTCGGTTATACATTCTTTTACTACTTTTTTGTTTTCTTATGCTTACAATTTTCACATAGCATCACATTATCTGTCTGCTTGAACAGTTCAGGTGGTGAAAGCAGATTTGGTTAAAAGTGGTTAAAAGTGATGGTTCTGCTCACACGTACGAAAAAATTAAATAAAAATAAATGTGTGTATTTTCTCGTACCTATTTTGTCAGCTGTTTTAACTAATGTTGACCTCAGCAACTTTTACATCAACAACTCAACAAAACAAGATGACTTCAGCTGAATATTTTAGATATTTTTTACGTAATTGTTTCTATTAAAAAATAAGCTGTCATATATGAAATGCCTTAAAATAACTTTTCCATACACATTTAATGGAAAATATATGTAGCAAGAAAATCAATGCCTCATGTTTGACTTAAATGTGAGAGTACACTCAAGCTGCTGCATAAATATACATATATGGACCAACTACTTCAATTGGAATTTTCAATGCAAAAGATTATTGCAAAATTCTTCTAAACAAAACATTTAAAAATGTGTTTAAAAAATCATACTATTACGTCACAATAATTCACCTTTTTAAGAATTTCACCATTAGTACATTATCCCCTTTTTTTCTTACATCAATAAAAAGATTTTGGTGGTTACCAATATGTTTATAAAATAATATGAACTATAATGATGTACATTAAGGAAAGCGATCAATTATATCATTTAAAATTATTAGTTTGAGAAAAATTAGGACTTTGCCAAAACAATTGAGCTGCTTTTATTCATCTCCGCCAGGCGGCGCTAATGTGCTTCAATGAACCGCTTCCCCCGCAAGTCTTCGAAGAAAAAGAAAACGCGTGAGGGTTGGTGATGCATTCTGGATATTGAAGTCCTTCATTTGTACGTTTTACCTTACCTGCGCTGTAAAACGTCACGTATGCGCCTACAGTTCCCACAGCTGACACGTCCTCCTGCCGGGGCGAAGAGTTGCTGCATGAAGCGAAGCCGGCCCGGAATTTCTTTCTAGAAGTAGCCCGTCCTTTTATCTTTTGGCTTCTAAAAATAAAGTAAGTAACGGAACGGCTGACCGTTTTCTTTTGATAATGTCAGCCATTTTTATCTTAGAGACGGATTTCCGTGGCTTGTCAGCAGGTTATACCGGGAAAGTTGTAATAATTTATTCAAACGGTTTTAGTAACACACTTTCAGCTAGCTAAGCAGTCATGTTGAAACAGTATCTGTTGGCTAATTCTGGTTACTGAGTGTAAACACAGGTTATCTTACAGCATTCAGGACCCTATGGTGAAAGCAGGCTAAATAAATATTTAATAGAGGAGCGTTACGCCCCCTAGAGAACACTTTCTTCATGTAACTTCTATTTATCGGCAACCTTTATTATAAAACCTTTATAACTTCATAAAAGTTTCACGCAAGCTTTAGTTATAATGGTGACTGCATAGGTAACACTGGATTTGGCTGAACGTTTAAAGTCAGGTAAGCTTCCTCTGGTAGGATTTAAACCACATTTTCATTTCTTTTCTAAGAGATATTATTTAAACTAAAATGGTATTTGTTCAAATGTTGCTAAAATTGTGGTTTTATTGGATTGAAGGAAATTAAACTACTGCTTCTACCTCTTTTTCCTATTTTATAAGATAATTTAATTTATTGTGACGTTTTCTTGATTCTGTCCAGCAGTAATTTTACATGGAGCATGCCTAAAACCTGTCGCTGTAGATGCACAAGTAGGCGGGAAAAGTCAATGAATTGAAAGAATCAAAACACCGTCATTAAATCTATGGGGACTTAGTTTGCATTTAGTTTAATCGTGTTTTTAAGTGGTATTTAACAATATTTTTAATGTAAATCAGGACACATTTCTTTGTTGTTTTTGAATGATTTTGTTAACAGCCCAGCCATGAGCAAGTTCCTGACTAAAGCAGGACTTTTGGGTTCGGCGTCAGTGGCCCTCGGCTCCATGTTGTGGTCACAACAGAAGACCGAATCAGAACCAGTTGCTTCAAATTCCCCATCGTCAGATCCAAACCTCAGTACTGCCTATGAGCTCAAACTGGTCCAGGTCTTGTTCCGGCACGGTGCTCGAACGCCTCTGAAGTCAATACCTGATGTGCTGGAGGTGAAACTTCTGCACTTTCTTACCTTGTGTCTGTATTCAGTCATTTATCTAAAGCTTTGTGTGTGTGTGTGTGTGTGTGTGTGTGTGTGTGTGTGTGTGTGTGTGTGTGTGTGTGTGTGTGTGTGTGTGTGTGTGTGTTTGTGTGTGTGTGTGTGTGTGTGTGTGTGTGTGTGTGTGTGTGTGTGTGTGTGTGTGTGTGTGTGTGTGTGTGTGTGTGTGTGTGTGTGTGTGTGTGTCATCAAAGGCCCAATGGGTTCCATCGCTCCTGGAGCCTCCACCTCACACGCACATGAACTATGTGGTGACAGATCTTCAGGGTGGACCCAGGCCCCCTTCTGTTGTGGAGGACGGCTATCGGAAGAACATCCTGAGTGTGAGTAGTAGGTGTGCTTTGTGTTGCTGAATAGTGATTCAGTCTTTCACTTCTGACCCTGGTGTTCATTCACTGATGTCAAATAAGATAAATGCTCTCAAATGTGTCATGAGTCAAAACGAGTTTTTCTTTGAGATTAGGAATTTCAAATGTTGCAACAGAGTCGACTTCACCTTCTAATTTTGTTATTTGTAGAAACCTAAAAAGTGACGATGACTTATTAAAGTTTGATTTGATAAAATAGTTTCTCAATCGGTTGGTCCTGCACCAACAGAAATCTGTATCCAGATGGTAGCGACCTGAATCTGCCAAGAGGAGCCTGGCCTTTTTCACTGACCAGGCCTTATGCACATCAATCAGATTATTATGGGATGTGCCAGCAGTTTTGCTGCGCACAACCTGTTCTGCTAGAAGTCCGAACCAGCAGTTGAAGCTAAGTCTGACACAATAAAAGGATAAAACATTCTCATAAAAGTGCCTTTGCTGATGAGTCTGAGTGGGTCCAGGTGGGGGTCAAGGTGTGATCCAGAACACCCCCAGGTACAGGTTCTCAGTTTTATTCTCTTATTTAACGCCAAATCACGACAAGAGTCACCTCGAGGCAATTCACATGATAAACATTCCAATACAGGTCAGTTCATTAAGCCATTCAGTAAAAAGTTTTCTATATAAGGAACCGAGCAGATCAAGAGTCTTTACAGCAATCCTCATACTAAGCAAGCATGTAGTGACATTGGAGAGGAAAACTCCCTTTTAACAGGAAGAAACCTCCAGAGAATCCTGGCTCAGTATAAGCATCCATCCACCACGACTCACAGGGGATTGAGAAGACAAAGTGCGCACACACACACCTACACCTCCGCACACACATACACTCCCCCAAACACATACACAACCAAGTAGTGTTTCTATGGCTACATTGTGATTTCTTGGTAAATATTCTATTTAGTAAGAGATTAACTTTATTGTATTTATCCTAGTGAATCTATAATTAAACGTGTAAACTAGTAGTAGCATATTCAATGTCAAAGAAAGTAAAATGTTATCAGGAGAGGGAGAATGATTATATGGTTAGCATCCATGAGGGCACCACAGCTCAGCAGAACATCATTGTAGCTTCTTCTGGGGAGAAAAACACTTAGAGAAAAAAATAAAGTTAACAGCTGAAATAGCAGGAAATAATGCAGTTAAAGAGCAGATTGTAGAAGAAAGTAGTAGAGTGAAAAGTGGTCAGTATGTCCTCCAGCAGTCTAAGCCTATAGCAGCATAACTACAGAGAAAACTCTGGATAACCTAGCCTTTTAGATGGAGGCATGTTGGAGGTAGTGCAAGGGAGAGTCGTCTTTACCGACTGTACACTCCACCTCCCTCTACTCCCCCACTTGTCCAGATCTAGGCTAACATCAGATTTTAACCATAGGCCCTATCAAATAAAAATGTTTTAAGCCTAGTCTTAAAAGTACACAAGGTGTCTGCCTCACAGACTAAAGCTGGGAGTTGGTTCCACAAAAAAGGAGCCTGATAGGTAAAAGATCTGCCTCCTATCTTATTTTAAAATATTTTAGAAACTACCAGTAACCCTGCAGTCTGCAGTTTCACCCTCCTGCGGAGAGGAGCACAAGCTGATTAACTTTGCTGTTTTATTCTAAAATTAATGATCATCTTGTTGGTTTCAGAAACATTAACCTTTAAAAAGTAAAATTCAGTGGAACCTTTGTCCAGGATCACACTGTTCTCTGATCACTGGTAAAATTTTCTGGTAAAAATGAATCTGCTCTGAAGTAAGTGAGGATAGATCATGTGTAGTCATAATAATAACAATGTGTCCTTCACTCATTCATTCACTAACGTTGGCGGAGCCAGACCACGTGTTGGTCTGCAGTTAGAAGAGCGCCACTCTCATCGTTTCATCCAAGGAGTCTTCATCACATGGTGGCCATGAGAATCAGACCACCATCTCTGTGACAAAAGGAACAACACGTTCCCTCTCAGAACTCTGTTCCTGTGAGATGTCCTCTCTGTCACTAATTATCTGCCTCTCCGCAGCCTTCGTCTTCCTGGACCAAACAGGAAGCTGGGAAATTATTAATCTAATGATTAAAAACAGCCTCATTCCTGAAAATAACAGGCGTCATCAAAGGTTTCGCTCAGCACCTCCTGATGCACAGAAAATGGATTTACTTTTTTATTTACACGTTTAACAATCATCCTCTTATCTTGTTTAAATCCAGCTAACTGTTCTCTTTTCTGGAGGTAGAATAACTACTCTGTTTATTTACTACTGTGTGTGAGATGAGCGATGAGTGGAGCCAGACGGGAAACAAGCTGAAGGAATAAATGTTGAATTGCTTCTTGGTTAAAATTTGGTGGAGAAAAAATGGTTGAGAATTTGGTTTGATTTCATCCAAACTGGACAAGAATAGATGAGCAGACGTTTGAAACGATTTAGGATTTAAAATGACATCTGGTATCGTTTGTTTTGACTAGCTGAAAGAAAAACAAAACAGGCAAGGTTACAAGTCCCATGACTTCCTGTTGCATGTGTTAGCCGCCTCCTGTTGGGTAAAAGTAAATAACCTTTTATAATATATCTTCAATAACTCAGTCAGTGTTTTCTCCTCTTGTTTTTAAAGATGTTCTGGGATTATTTTAAGAATAAATCCGTCTACCTCTGCTGTATCTGAGATAGATTGATTTTTTTACACCAGGGTGGCTCGTTCCCCGGTCAGCTGACCACGATGGGCATGCAGCAGCTGTACGAGCTGGGTGAACGGCTGAGGAAGAGATACGTTGAGGAGAAACCCTTCCTGAGCAACACCTACATCCCTACTGAGGTCTAGTAAGTGACTGAAAATTGGGCTTATGAGGAAACGTGTTTCTATTTTAAACTCCCTCCATGACCTGCTTTCACTGCTCCAGTGTGCGCTCCAGTAACATAGTAAGGACCATCGAATCAGCCAAGTGCCTGCTAGCCGGGCTCTTCCAGCAAAAACAAACAGGTGGAATAAATAATCTGCACGAGTGTTATTTAACTTAATCTCCAGCTCCTCCTGATCTGTTCCGGCCTCTTCTCTACTTCCAGCAACCGTGTCCATCCTCACAACAGACGCAGAATCTGAGATTCTCTACCCTAACTTCCATGGATGCAAGCTGCTCAAAATTCTCAGCGGGTATGTCAGCTCTCCTCCACCTGCCACAGAGTCGCGTCACTTCTCAGACCGCCCCGTGCACTCTCAGCCAGAAAATGGAATCTAGAATCATGTGCAGTGCAAAATTACAAGCAGAGTGGAGATGCCTTTGACAGGTTGTCACTGTGTGTCTGTGTCTCGCCGCTGACACGGTGTGTGTTCTTTGCAGCCACCGCTGGGCCGAGTTGTCCACTCTGCCAGGCATTGCTGCAGACCTGCAACGCATCCAGAGTGCACTGGGGATCGCTGCTCACCGGCACGTCGACTTCGTCTTCATTAGGGATGACATGGTTGCCAGAGAGGTGACACTGGGATTCTGTGATCCCTGTGACTTTTTCCAGCTTGCAACCCAAGCATCAGAATAGATACGACTCTTATAAAAATCCAACAGCTGCTGGTTATAGTCAGGATAAAAAAAAGTTTCTGCAGATTTTAACAAGCTAGGATGATGAGATGAAACGTTTGTGAGTTTGGGAAATGTTAGTTTAATGAGCAAATTTTTACTATAAAGCCAAATAAAAACATTTTTGCACTAAAAAGAAGGTTTTACATCCAAATCTAAGATACTTTGATTTCCTGTCTAAACTCACGGGCCAATTTATTGGGTACACTTTTCAAACTTCCCGTTAACACAGATTACTAATCAGCCAATCAAATGGTGGCAACTCAGTGCATTTAGGCATGTAGACATGGTCAAGATGATCCGCTGCAGTTCCAACCGAGCTTCAAAATGGAGAAGAAAGGTGATTCATGTGACTTTGAGTGTGGCATGGTTGTTGGTGCCAGACAGGCTGGTCTGAGTATTTCTGAAATTACTGATCCTCTGGGATTGTTCCATACAACCACCTCTATGGTTTATAGAGAATGGTCCGAAAAAGGGAAAACATCTAGTGAGCGGCAGTTCTGTGGGTGAAATGCCTTGTTGATGCCAGAGGAGAATGGCCAGAGTGGTTCAAGCTGATAGAAAGGCAACAGTAACTCAAATAACACCTCTCACAACACGTGGAACCTTGAGGTAGATGGACTACAGCAGCAGAAGACCACACCAGGTGCCACTCCTTTCAGCTAAGAACAGAAAACAGGCTACAATTAACACAGGGTCACCAAGACTGATCAATAGAAGATTGGAAAAATGTTGCCTGGTCTGATGAGTCTCCATTTCTGATGCAACATTCAGATGATGGGGTCAGAATTTGGCATCAGCAACATGAAAGCATGGATCCATCCTGCCTTGTATTAATGGTTCAGGCTGGTGGTGGTGGTGTGATGGTGTGGGGGAGATTTTATTGGCACACTTTGGGCCCCTTAGTAGTAATTGATCATCACTGCGACGCCACAGCCTACCTGAGTATTGTTGCTGACCATGGCCATCCCTTTATGACCACAGTGTACCCATCTTCTGATGGCTACTTCCAGCAGGATAATGCACCATGTCATAAAGCTAAAATAATCTCAGACTGGTTTCTTGAACATGACAATGAGTTCACTGTACTCAAGTGGCCTCCACATTCACCAGATCTCAATCCAATAGAACACCTTTGGGATGTGGTGGAACGGGAGATTTACATCATGGATCTGCAGCCGACAAATCTGCAGCAGCCGTGTGATGCTATCATGTCAATATGGACCTCAGAGGCATGTTTCCAGTACCTTGTTGATTCTATGTTACGAAGGATTAAGGAAGCTCTGAAGGCAAACGGGGGGTCCAACCCATTACTAGCAATGTGCTCTCAATAAAGTAGTCAGTCATGATAAAAGAAAATATTCCCTTTTCAGTTTCAGAGTTTTACTTAAAAGACAAAATAACAGTGATACAATTTTGACCAAGCTCTCAAAATGAATCATATCTAACCTCAGGTTCCATCATGCCATTATTTATTAAACACAAATGAAAAAGCCGTGTAAAAAAACACGTTTATCTCAAATAATACATTTTTTGAACTAGAAATGCACATTGAAGACACTTCCTTTGTCTTAATTGTAAAACGGTTTAACATTTTTCTGTCTTGATCAACAAATAAAAATGTTAACAAATTTCTTACAACATTTAAATATTTTATGACGAGTGATCAACCTGTTTCTCTAAATCTACAGACACATGGTCTACCCTGTCCTCCGGCGCTGACCTCCTGGAGGAATAAAGTTGAACAGAGAGCTGTGGACGTGATGTGCCACATCTACCAACCCAGCAAAAGGTTTAAACACACCTTGTCAGGTAAAATGATGCCTTTCTGTCAGGATCTAAACTAATTCTTTGCCATGTCTACGACAGGGAGAACTTGCAGCTGTGTGTGGGACCCCTCCTGCATCAACTGTTGGACAACATGGAGAAGAAACTGCAGGGCAGCTCCTCAGCATCAACCAGGTTGGACACCTCGTGAAGGACACTCGTCTCTCTCACGCAAATCTATCAGCTTCTCAGTGATTCACTGATAACTCTTCTCTCTAACAGGAAGTTATTTCTGTACTCCGTGCATGACACCACTCTGATCCCCTGCCTCATGGCTCTGGGGCTTTTTGACATGAGATGGCCACCGTACGCAGCTGACCTGACTCTGGAGTTGCACCAGAATCGACAAACCAGCGAGCCTTTTGTTAAAGTTACATATTTAGGACAAGTAAGGATTGACACACTGCTTAAATGTTCACACACACACACACACACACACACACTTTTCTCTTTCTTATGTAGGTTTCTTCTTGTTCCACAGGACCAACTCATCCCAGGTTGCAGTGGAGTCTACTGCCCCCTGCAGGAGTTCAAACAAGCCCTGTCAGGATACACACTGACCTCTGACCCCTATCGGTCGCTCTGTAACAGCACAGGTTTACCCGAACCCTGAAAACCCGTTGACCTCTCTCACACACACACACACACACACACACACACACACACACACACACACACACACACACACACACACACCTATAAACCACATCATATTTTTTAACTTTTAAAACATTTTTCTGGTCTCGCTCCATCCAGCTAGTATTATTACAGAAACATTAACATGTTATTTTAAATTAATGTAATCTTTAATCACAACACACATAAAAAAGTTTTGCTAGTGTTTACTGTTTACTTCTGTGCACAGGTGTGTTTACCTGCATATTTCTATGCTTTATTAGGGTTAAAGTTATTTTATCTGCATTTTGCCAACAAATAATTATTTTTAAGCAGGCAAAGTAAAGTGGCAACACATTAAGATTTAACTAATCACCCAAAATAAAAACAATGCATGACTTTCACCTGTAAAGAGACATTTACAGTAACGGAACGTATGACTGGTTGCCCCAGATAATGTTTATTTAAATGAAAGGACGCTTCACCAGTTGGAGACGCTTATTTATGAATGTAATGTTTTTTTTTTAAGATTGACCAAATAAGCCTTTTTATAAGCATATATGTATATTTAGGATAAGTTGTGGTTTTAAAGAATGAAGCTTAATATAAAAAAATCCCAGTTTGAACTTTTAAAAAGTTTTCCTGTGAAACTTGTTGCACTTATACACAATTTTTTTAAACATTCTTCCCGAATGTTTTGAGCCTTTTGAGTGAATTTAATGTTAGAGGACTTTATGCCTAATCGGGTGGAAATGTAAATGCTGTTTAAAAATGTATGAAGTTTGAATAGATGAGCTATAAATGCAGATTTTATTCACCATTTAGCCTCTTTTTTTTCCCCCTCCATCACATTTGTTGTGTGAAGCGCTCTGAGTAAACTCTAATTTCCCTCAGGGATTAATAAATTCTTTTGGAATTGAATTGAACTTGCGACTGAAAACAAGTCAATGAGCTCCTTTGACTAGTCGACATGTTGGACTAGGTGTGAACATTCCAGACCAACATGAACAGAAACAAGCGCACACACACGCCATAGACAACATGTATATACCAAAACAATATCTTTTATTTGTAGTCCATCACCACAGCCCTGGTAGGCTATTCTGCACCAAAGCCAATGGAGAAACACATGACAAGCTTATACAATAGAGAAAAGAGGAAGCCAACTGGATGGAAAGCAGTACATGTTTACATTTCAGCGTGTCTCACTCTGGACACACCTGCCGTACTAAACTGGTACCAGATCTACCTAGCTCTAAGTCTACATTACCTGCTCTTGCACTCCAGCCACTCCTGTCCCATTCTGTCGACCGTCAAGGAGGGTGGGGGTGAGGGGGATTATTGCTGTGGGAATGATTATTACCCAGAGTCAACGAGTCAAAACAAAACAGGAACACAACAAGAACACACATAGCACGTCTGGGTATTAGCAATATTTTTCACGCTGGCGAAAGTTGAATCCTAAAGGTTTCGGAACACTATGTCTGAACGTCGTCCACGACTTGAAATGGACTGGAGATGATGGTGCCGTAGAGCTGCCAGGATCTTCACATTGCTCTCAAATGTAAAAATAGAATAAAAAAAAAAGAACAGAAAAGAAGACGCTTTCTGCAGGTGGTCCATGTTTGTGCTTTTTTTAATAATACTATTATCTTAATGAGGTCATAGTTTGGTTTGTTATACACTGGAGTTACAAAGGAAATTAAAATAGACTAAAATTTGAATAGCCCACCAATGGTAAACCGTACAGTATTTTCAGGGGGCGTTCCTCCCCCTATGAAAGTTGGGCAAGAGGACTTGAGAGGTCACTGATAGAATGCCTATACATACAGACACATACACACCACACACAAACATCCAATCTGTCCAGCACACACACACGCGCACACACACTCTCACGTATATACTGTACAGAAACAGTCAAAACAATGGCGCGAGAGACAAAATGGATTTCCACTAAAGTCTTCACAAAGCACAAATTATTCTTCCTCCTTTCTCTGGTTCCATACCACTTTGTGACAAATTTGTTTTTTTTTTTGTTTGTTTGTTTTTTTGAAAAAAAGTAGACATATACTGTAGCATCTCCACGCTGACTTACTTAGGTTGGTTCCTCTTTGTTGTCAAAGTCATCTTTATAGTCAGATATTAAAAAAAACACATCAAGAGTTCTGTGAAATCGATGCACAACAATCCCATACATTCTGCAGTTCTCGAGTTGAAACTAAATGTTCGTGTGGCAAAGTACTCCATCTTAGTCTCTGCTGGAAACTTGACTTGGCTGGCAGGTTGGCTCCACTGTTGCATTTTCTGGACACACACTTGTGTTTTGTTTTGATTTATTTAGTCTGTCAGTTGTCTGAATACTTGCTACACTCCATGATCTTTAAACCATCCTCGTGTATTGTCCAAGAACATTCTAGTTACAAGGTTTGTGTTGGGTTAGAACATTCCTGGACCCGGACTGAACCCCATGTCCATGTCACGCGGCCTCATTTGGCCTCCCATCATCATCGTCTGCTGTGGAGGGCCCCCCATGCCCTGAAGTGACATCATCATATTAGGTGAGCCACCAGGGCCTGGGTGAGCCATTTGTCTCACCTGCATCATTCCTCCTGGACCTACAGGGGACATCATCCGGTGCTGTGGGCCCATCATGCCTTGGCTCATGAAACCTGGCGGCCGCATTGGATTGTGACCAGGGTTGCCCATTGGCATGTCTTGAGGGCCCATTCCCCCACCAGGTCCCCCCGACATTCCCCCCATCCCCTGCATAGGCATCCCCATCCTCGGTGGACCATCACTCATCATTCCCTGTATGGGAAATCCAGAGGGGTGAGGCGGTTTTCCCCCAGGGTTGTCTCCTCCACCTCGGGGGAAATACGACAAAGTCTGGCTGGGCTTCTCTGATGGGATTATCCTGGACAGGTCAAACTCAGGAATGCCCGAGGCTCCTGGTCGCATTACCTCATGAAGGTCTGCATCACTGAATCCTCCTTGCATGTTGTTGAACTCTGGTCCACCCGGGGTATTAGGCTTGCACATGCCACCATCACCCCCTCCCCCATGAGGCATGTTCCCCATTCGCCCTCCCATAGGTCCTCCCTCACCCTGGAAGCCCATTGGATGACCAGGAAAACCTTGAGGACCAGGTCCATTGTGCGGAGAAAAAGGTCCTTGCTGAGAAGGGGACTGGGTGAGGGGGTATCCCTGGTTTCGGTGAGGGTAACCCATGCGTCCTTGAGGCATCATTTGGGGGTTTGGCATACCAGGATCTTGGGGATTTGGTTGCATCATCATGCCGTGAGATATCATGCCTGGTCCCATATTAGGAGCATTGGGAGAGGGCATCTGTGGGGGCATGCCATGGGAAAGAGGCTGGGATCCCATCGGATTCATACCCAAAGGGCTGAGCGCAGGCATGGGTCCAGCACTCCCAGGTCCCATCATGCGTGGATTTCCTTGGTGATTCATTGCCATACCTGTAAGCCAAAAAGAGAGAAAGTTCAAGTGAAGGCACCTGTAAAAATGTGAATACATCTCAGGGTCAGTGTCATCAAACCAATAAACAAACAAAAGAACCTTCAGATGTTTTACCATTATTGTTCACTGAAGGCAGGTTGGGGGAGCGAGCTGGAGGCGAGTCATCATCTGAGCTGGCAACAGTCTTTATGGCATCATGGTAAAGGGGGGTTGAGCTGGGCATTGCAAACTTGGACATGCGTGACATCATGATAGACAGCGGGTTCTGGGATAGAGTTGGTTCAGGAGGTATAGTGTACGGACTGCCAGAGGGGACGTTGCCTGGGAGGGACATGGCGCCGGATGGTGCTCCTGATGAGGGAGGGGCTGAGGGAGGGCCATTAACGCCTACAAAAAAATATAACTAGATTACAAAAACATAGCTATAGACAAATTTACACCATTGTTTTTATATGTGGTATTAAAGCACCAGTTTCTACATGCATACTTGGTTCATTTTAAAATTAGGTGCGTCCAAACGGTCCGTGTAGACCACACACTGCCAAGTCAAATGGGAGATTATATCTTCTTTATTAACAGCCAGAAGAGGGAGCCACTGGACCACAATCAACTCATTCAACATACATGTTGAATGAGTGACTCACCACACAACAGCTTTTGTTTCACATTTTAAAGGGTTTTCAAGTTATACAAGATAAACAATTTGTTAAACAAACTAATTCGAATGTCCAAATATCAACACAATTAAACAAAATGAATCACCACATTTTTAATAAATGAGCCCAAAAATTTGTGACGTTTTCATTTTGAAGCTAAAAAGCAGAGGTAAAAACGTAAAAAATCAAAGATATACATACTCTGCTCCATCCCCATCATGTTTGGTGAAGTGAGGCTGAGTGGAGGCTTGCCACCCTGAGGGGGCACTCCAGGACTCTGCATGGGTGGTTTTGGTGAAGAGACCCATGACGGAGAGGGGTTTGGAAGAGATGGAGACCTCATATGAACAGGAGAGGCACCTGCTGATCCCATCATGGAGTGGGGTGATTTCATTGGTGCTGAAGTTGGAGGAGCTGGAGGAGCACTGGGGCCTGTGGGACCAGTCAGCATGCCAGCCAGCTGGGACGGTGTTTGAGGAGATTTAAGGTTTCCAGAAGGAGAGCCCATGATGGGGGACTGCACTTGCCTCAAAGGAGGGGATTTAAGTGGGTTAACACTGGGAGAGTGCCCTCCAGTTTGTACATTCAGATCTGTTGGTTTACGGCTCCTTTGACCTTGTGCAGGACCACCTCCTGAGGAGAGGTGGTTAATACGACCGTTACCTCCTGACGGTGTAGCTCTGTGCTCTGGACCAAATGCTGGATCGGCATGTGGACCTCTCATTCCCCCAGGAAAGGGTCGACCAGACCCCATTGGAAAGTCTGATGGTGCCTGCTCAGGAAAGGTGGGAACCTGCATGGGCCTGCCTTGTGGCCCCATGTTCTCCATTGGAGGTCCTCCACTACCTCTCATTCTCATCATTTCATCTGGACTCATGTTCATTGGTGGATCTCGTAATTTGGAAGGATGCATATGAGGTCCTGGCCCAGGCCCAGGCCCCATACCAAACTCAGGCCCCATTTCCCGTCCTCCCATCCCTTGGAGCCTTGAGGACGGACTCATGGGGCCTTCACCAGGCATTCTGGGGAACATACCCATGCCATTACCAGGTTCCATTCCACCTCTTTGGTGTCCCATCATCCTTTGAACATCCATCATCATTCCTGGGGGAATGCCCTTCTCTCCACTCATTCCTTGGTGGAACATTGCCTCTTGGACTGACTGAGGATTCGGGAAACGCTCACCACGAGGCCCGGGACCAGCAAACATTCCACCAGGCCCTCCAGGGAACCCCCGTGCTTCTCCCATTCGGGGAGGCATGTCATCAGGCCAGCCCATTCCAGGTCGTGGGGGACCCTCCATCTCAGGATTCATCATACCAGAGAAGCCTGGCATCCTCTGCATATGTGGGGGCATGCCCCTGGGACCAGGTCCCATTCCCATTCGCTCTGGATAATGCTCTGGTGGACCTCCTGGTCCTACCCACATCTCTCCAGGGCCCATTTGATAAGGAGGCGGAGGCCCTCGCATCATGCCACGAGGACCATGGGGGTGCATCATCATGTCAGGAGGAAGTGGTCGATGTTGCATTTCTTGTTTTTTTCTTTTCTCCTCATAAAACTCTTGCTGTAACTTCAACCAAGCCACCTGTTCTGGGGTCATCTGATCTCCTTCTCCACAGCTGCCTGGACCCATATGACCCATTTCATCTGGCTGAAATGCTGGCATGTCCCTTGGCCCATGGGGTGGCCCAAAGGGTGGACCTGGAGGACGAGGTCCTCCAGGTCCACCAGCTGGTCCAAGGCTCTGAGATTGTGCCATCATAGCTTGTAAAGGGCCCTGCTCCGATCGCCGAGGTCCACCATCAGGGCCTCCATCATGGGGTCCACTATGAGTTTGAGGGGGCCCTGCTGGTGGGGCATCACGATCATCAGGGAAGAGCATGCGCTGAATATCTCGCAAAGTTTGCAGGGAACGCTGGCGATGTTCTAATTGTTCTTGTGACAGGCCCTCCGTGTTGGCCTCCATGTTCAACAACTCCTGAGCAAGCTGCTGCTGTTGCTGCTGCTGTTGGGGGGTCAGACCGACTCCAACCGAGCCTCCACCTTGTCCTCCTTCAACTGATGATGGAGGGTTGAGGCCTGCTTCAGGCTGGTTGACGGGGGCTGAGTCAACCGAGGCTGTTGGATTGCTGGGGCTGCTGCCTGGAATATTTTTGGATTCTATGCCTCCTGAGGACGGCCCTTCCTGTGTAAGAACACAGGATTGGTTCCCTTGATTTGAAGGCTGCGGTGGTGTTGGCTCTGCCATTCCAGGTAAGGATGGTTTGGATCCAGGCTGGTGGCTTTGATCTTGGCCATGGGACGGAGGCAGCTGCGGAGGCTTGGAGTCATTTTGTAGGATGCCAGATGGATTGTTCTTTAATAGAGAAGAAGCGGGATTAAGTCTAAAATAACAATAGAACGACAGATTCAACTAACTCGCACGCATGTTTACCAAGAGGTGAGCTTTTTCTTTGCTGTTGGAGATGTTTTTCATGTGGAAGGTAATGATGTTTTCTGTGTGGCCAGTTAGAACTGCATCAGCTGCCCTGAAGCCAAGAGGACAGAGAGTCAGAGATCAGTCACCAGACTTCTGTGTGTTTAGATGAGTTAGGAAAACACATTTTGGAATGATGAGAATTTACTCCATCTGATTCCATGTAGAGGAACAGCCCAAGTTCTAAAAACCTTTATAATTATCACTACTACTACTTACTTGTTTGCCATTTCTGTGGTGAAGACATAAACAAGTTTTGAGCCCTGTTTCTGGCCACTGGCAGGTTCTGTTGTGGAGCTTTGGCCCCCCAGCGTACTGTGGGAGGGTGTGGAGGATCGACTGAGTCCAGCATTGGAGGTAGAATGTGCGACAGAGTCCTGGGGCTTTACATCACCAGAGTTACAATCTAAAAGAAATTAGGAGGCAGCAGAAAATGAAATTCTTCTCTGACCATCGGAGTTTAGGTGATCGGTAAAAGGCTTGGATGCACATTTACACACTTACTGAAAAAACTTCTGTCATCTTCATCACTCTCACCCCCCGAGCACCAGTCAGCGCCACTGTATGGCTGCCTCCTCTCTGCCACACACATCCTTTTCACCCTACTACTATCTGCACACACACACACACACACACACACACACACACACACACACACACACACACACACACACACACACACACACACACACACACAGATCAATGGGGTTGATGTGAGAAACTGATGCACTTTGCACAACCTAAACATTTGAAGTCTCCTCCTCTGAGTGGATTTTTTAATTTCTACAACTTCACTTCAGAAAAAAATGTTTGATTCTGTGTAAATAAAAACAGACCGCCTTGTTTTGCAAATCATTAAAAAGAAACATTTACTTGCACCAAATGTAGGTGCCTACTTCTGTGGACAAACGCCACATGGAGGGAAGTTGTTCCTACCTTTGTCTTCACTAGTTGGGGTGCCGCTCTCTGGCTGTTCAAACGACTCCACCGAGGTGCTTCTCTCCCTTTTGCCTTTCACCTTGGAGCTTGAGCTGGACGTCAGGCCCTGGCCATTCTTCAGCCCCATTCCCCCTGCAACATTTTGAGCCGCTTTGGCACCCATATTTTTGGGGTCACAGGGAGAGGGCTGTGATTGGCTCCCTGTGCTCCCTGGTTTACCCTGATTGGGCATTTTAGAGTCCATCTGGGCGGCAGTAGAGGGGGACATGACAGGAGGTGATCGTACCATGGCCTCCGTCTTGGGTTTAGGGCTGAAATACAAAGTTTGCATTTATTAAACATAATTCAAATCAAAACATTCTGCCACATGGCAAATCTGTCACCCTGAATGAATTCATAGGATGTTTAAAGGAAGTGAGGAAGATTTGACATTAGCTTATAATCTATAAACTTCAAAAACAAGCCAAGAGAAGTAATCCACCATGTGGAATCACTGAGATCTTAAACAGCTTCAGCTCAATGTCCAAACACCACAAAAAGGTGGTGGAAAGAAAACCAGAATGAAAACAGGATTGTTTTTTCCCTATTTTAATAACCAAGAAACATACTGTAATAATAAATAACAGTTGGCATAAATGACCACGGACACACAGGCCACGAGTGACGACTGCTGCTTAATAGTTAAGGGAGCAGTTTGGGTTCAGGCGAGCAGGATGCATCCAACTGGCAGCAAACTTCCTCACCACACCCTAATCTCTTTCTCAGTCTCCCCTCTCCCAAAAACAACACATGTAGTGCACTTGTACAAGTAGCACAGTGCAAAAGACGGTGACTCCAAAAGGTAAAGCTCTAGAGTAGTAAACTGTAACTACGTACACAGTCACACAACTAGCAGCAAGAAAAACAGAGCTAGATTTTTGGCAGTCCTGACAGTCGTTTCCAGAGACTCCACATCCATGAGTCAGCAGGCAGAACATCCAAGGCCGGTGTACTCTCTGACCCCAGAACACTGCTCAGTAATAAATTAGCAAGTGATTAAGTGAAAATGCTAATTTCTCCAGATCGGATTACGTGAATTCACCAGATTGTGGCATTTTCTTCCCAATGACAGTACTATGAGCTGTTGCTACACAACTCCACCTGTGCAAATGTATGTCCTCAGGTTCTAATGGGCTTCATTATGCATGATCAGAAATCCATCCCTCTTCCCTTGGTTATTATCAGTTTATCACTACGCCATCTCCCCGCCAACAGCCCAGAACCAAGCAACAGTGAGTGCACTTCTCACACTTTCCAGCTGCTCATCAAATGAAGCCCCATCAACAATATCAAATCTCAGCTATTTAGACAGGTTTTGATTTTCTTACACAGACAAATTCAGCAATGACTACATAACAATACATCAAGTATATCAAGGTTTTTCCTGCAGTTTTATGATGATATTCCTGCTGGAAGTGCCCCAGGCTGCCCCTGAAAGGGCTGCTGCTCACTACTGCAACTATTTGTGCTTAAAAATCACCATAAATGTTGTACAAGTAACTCTGTAATGCAGAGTTGACAGCAATGTAAAGATTTACTTAAAAATGCATTAACCCTCTGGGGTCCAGGGTGTAATTTGCCGTTTTTGACTAATTTTGAGTTTTCCTTTGTATTACAAAAAAAAACATACCGTATTTTCCGGACTATAAGCCGCTATTTTTTCCCACGCTTTGAACCATGCAGCTTATAATGAGGTGCGGCTTTAGTCAACCAGAAAGGATGGATGGTGGAAAGTCTAATGAAGGAATGGTTAAAGGAGTGCTACGGAAAGCGCCAAGGAGGATTTTTTTCACAGTAAAACGGTGCTGCTCGTTTTCCCAGCTTCACCCCGGGATGATGACAGCAACACGGAGAGCGACACTGACATCGCCACAGAAAAGGTACGTGACGAAGCTCTGACGAAGAGGACTTCAGTGATTTCAGTGCGCAGGAGGACGATGAATAAACCAGTCAATAACTTTTCTGTTTTGTTTGATACTGATCAGTTTAGTTACGTTCAGTTAAACTACGTTTTCAATTCAGTAGATATCTGCAGCTTTTAGCCCGGTGCAGCTTATATTGAGGTGCGCTCTATAGTCTGGAAATTACGGTAACTATTGCCTTACATGGGATTAATCTTTTCAGCACTACCTGGACTGTATGAATTTACAGGTCCTTCTCGAAAAATTAGCATATTGTGATAAAGTTCATTATTTTCTGTAATGTACTCATAAACATTAGACTTTCATATGTATTATAGTCATTACACACAACTGAAGTAGTTCAAGCCTTTTATTATTTCTAATATTCATGATTTTGGCATACAGCTCAGGAAAACCCAAAATTCCTATCTCTAAAAATTAGCATATCATGAAAAGGTTCTCTAAACGAGCTATTAACCTAATCATCTGAATCAACTTATTCACTCTAAACACCTGCAAAAGATTCCTGAGGCTTTTAAAAACTCCCAGCCTGGTCCATCAAAACCACAATCATGGGTAAGATTGCCGACCTGACTGCTGTCCAGAAGGCCATCATCGACACCCTCAAGCAAGAGGGTAAGACACAGAAAGACATTTCTGAACGAATAGGCTGTTCCCAGAGTGCTGTCTCAAGGCACCTCAGTGGGAAGTCTGTGGGAAGGAAAAAGTGTGGCAGAAAACGCTGCACAACGAGAAGAGGTGACCGGGCTCTGAGGAAGATTGTGGAGAAGGACCGATTCCAGACCTTGGGGGACCTGCAGAAGCAGTGGACTGAGTCTGGAGTAGAAACATCCAGAGCCACCGTGTACAGACGTGTGCAGGAAATGGGCTACAGGTGCCTCATTCCCCAGGTCAAGCCACTTTTGAACCTGAAACAGCGGCAGAAGCGCCTGACCTGGGCTACAGAGAAGCAGCACTGGACTGTTGCTCAGTGGTCCAAAGTACTTTTTTCGGATGAAAGCAAATTTTGCATGTCATTCAGAAATCAAGGTGCCAGAGTCTGGAGGAAGACTGGGCAGAGGGAAATGCCAAAATGCCTGAAGTCCAGTGTCAAGTACCCACAGTCAGGGATGGTCTGGGGTGCCATGTCAGCTGCTGGTGTTGGTCCGCTGTGTTTTATCAAGGGCAGGGTCAATGCAGATAGCTGTCAGGAGATTTTGGAGCACTTCATGCTTCCATCTGCTAAAATACTTTATGGAGATGAAGATTTCATTTTTCAGCATGACCTGGCACCTGCTCACAGTGCCAAAACCACTGGTAAATGGTTTACTGACCATGGTATTACTGTTCTCAACTGGCCTGCCAACTCTCCTGACCTGAACCCCATAGAGAATCTGTGGGATATTGTGAAGAGAAAGTTGAGAGATGCAAGACCCAACACTCTGTATGAGTTTAAGGCCACTATCAAAGCATCCTGGGCCTCCATAACACCTCAGCAGTGCCACAGGCTAATTGCCTCCATGCCACACCGCGTTGAAGCAGTCATTTCTGCAAAAGGATTCCTGACCAAGTACTGAGTGCATAACAGAACATAATTATTTGAAGGTTGACTTTTTTGTATTAAAAACACTTTTCTTTTATTGGTCGGATGAAATATGCTAATTTTTTTAGATAGAAATTTTGGGCTTTCATGAGCTGTATGCCAAAATCATTAACATTAGAAACAATAAAAGGCTTGAACTGCTTCAGTTGTGTGTAATGGATCTAATATATATGAAAGTCTAATGTTTATCAGCACATTACAGACAATAATGAACTACATCACAATATGCTAATTTTTTTAGACATACCTGTATACCTCTTTTTTATGTTTGGACATAAAGGGATTTGCATATTGGACCTCAAATACATGAAATCTGAGTTGGAAAAATGTTTTTTTTTTTTACTGTGAAACCCACAAACATGTATGATGGATGATTTTTACAATTTAGAATGGCAAACTAGACTGTAAATGTATAAAATATATTTATATGAAAATGAAAGAAAATGTTCATTTGTCTTTGTACAATTATTTACACAGGTCAAAAAGATGCCAAAAACTATATAATTATGCCAAAATAAGTTACAATAGAGCCCAAATCCTGCCACTTTGCCCACGTTGCGATATTCAAAATATTTACTATTCACATAAGAACCGGATTCTTTTGTTTTCCAAGATAACTCAAAGTTTATTTGTGCCACCCCAAGAAGCAGTTCCTGCCCACTAAGCAGAGGAGCACATCAGGCCTGGCTTCTCCATATAAGAAATAAACAACAGAAAAGATCATTTGGACTAAAGAAGGAATAGCTGGACTGTGTCACCAAGGCTAGAACCTGCTTGTTCCTGACAAACTTTTTAGTCCCTCTCCTGTCTTACAAGCATCACAGAGGGGGCGGGGCTTTGCCTCACTTCTGAAGACGGAGAAATAACACCAGTGCGGTACGGCACTGCCCATTCCACTCTTTCTATCTTTGAGCAGCTTCTTCTGTGCCTACCAAGATCTCATCTTCCTTGCTATGACCCAGCTTCTCTTTTTCAGTTAAGACGAAGGACTGATCTGCCACATTATCATCAAAACCCTCAATGTAGCATCAGACTCCAGCCGCGGGTCTCACGCTCCTGTCTTCCTGCTAAGAAACAGCTGAGCTGCTGGACATTCATGATTCATCCTCATTTATACCTAAAATACACTCAACTACATATGAATAATAATATTTTTGTCACAAATTGCTCCAATGTCTAAAGTTTTTCGTCAATGTCCGTCTGTGTGTTTCTTTAGTTTCGTATGACTCTGCTTTTACTTGGCCTATTAACAAAATTTAAAAACTGGAGTGTGGTTTGTAATCTCCGTTTTACAGCTGTCTTGCAGAGTCTTGCTGCTACGGCGTTTCAAATCAGACCTGTTCAACAGACGCAGATCCGCGCCCATAGACCCCAGAGGGTTAACATAAAGTCTCGTCTTGGAGAATAGAACTAGTGAAACAAGTCTAGGACCCACAGATGGCCTGTTGATGAGGTCAAAACCAATCTGTTTTTCCAAACTGAAGCTGTTCATCTATGATAGCTGACACGTTAGCTGTTGATGGCCTTTCCTCAATTCAGAGGGTCTGAACTATTCCTTTAAGCTAAAGAAGCAGCTAAACACAACTGGTTTTCTGCCCCAGAAAGCTAAACAGGTGCTTCTTCATCATCACCGTGATGTACAGAATAACAGAGCTAGCGTGCATGCATGTGTGTGTGTGTGTGTGTGTGTGTGTGTGTGTGTGTGTGTGTGTGTGTGTGTGTGTGTGTGTGTGTGTGTAAGTCCTCTCACCTTTGTGTGTTGGTGGACGGGGAGTTCTTTAGCCTATTGGAGTGCATTGATGGGGCTCCCAGGACAACAGAACAGGGAGGAGTGATGAGCTGGTGAGGGCTGCCCGTGTGTGTGAGCGGAGCTTTAGCACGCACGTTCCTGGAGCCGCCAACAGGATTTCCGATGTTCGACAGGTTCCCTCGACTGTCCTTGGCCTCCTCCCTCTCTTTCTTCCCTCGCTCCTTCTTGCTGAAATGTGTCGCTGCTGTACCTGCCGCCGCTGGCCTCTCCTCTTGCACCTCCAACATCTCTCTATGTCCTTGTCTGTGTGTGTGTGTGTGTGTGTGTGTGTGTGTGTGTGTGTGTGTGTGTGTGTGTGTGTGTGTGTAAGAAAAAGTGTGTTAAAACAAAAACAACAGTCCAGAAGGCTTTCCTTGTTCTTTGTGTATTTATGAAATTCTCCCAAGGGGGCTTTCAACGGCCCTCAGGCACACTGTTGAGAGAAGAGAAGAGAAGAGAAGAGAAGGAACGTAAGAAACTAGAAACTTTAAGTGTAAATGAATCATTTTAGTTCATAAAAGAATGAGCATAAATGTTATTTGGTGACAGGTGGAGTCTTTTTGGCACCAGGATAAATTCCACCAGGCCCGATTTAAATTCATGTCACATTAAAAGGCAAAGTAAAGGTGTTAATTAATACTTGGTTTAATTGGTTTAGCGCTTGGACAAACTTGACCCAATGTTATTATCGCACCACCTTCATATTCCCTTTGTTTTAACGAGTCTGATTGTGTCGGGGTTTTTTCGCCACGTCAAACCTTTGCTGCAACATGATCTGTACTGATGCTTTTTCATACGCCTTTACTTGCACGAGCGACTATTTTAAACAGCCATCAGCAGACAGTGAAGCGATTGCACAACATTTAGTTTAGGAGGAAAAAGAAAATCTTTTGTTAAATAAAAAATAACTATAAAATAGCTACTTTATTCTGATGGAGAGTTAGTTACTGCAACACAAATTCTTTTTCAGGTTTTTTTAATGAAAAGACAATCCTCCAAATTAATTTTAATTAAGTCTGACACACATTTTTTTATGCATTTACACTGTGGTCTCTAGTAGAGATGAATGCCTTGTAAGTCGTACTCTGGGGGGGAAAATGTTAAGACTGTTTCAAGACAGAGAATTCAGCCAGAATTTCCTGATATTTGGACATCTCCTCTCTGATTGGCTAACAGCAATGTGGCTCTACCACTGACTCAGTTTGCTTTGCAACACTGATGTTTTGATGCTAAACCACTAACAGCCTTCCCCGTTGCGATTCAAGATGGGTGAGTCCATTAATGTTAAGTGACAGTGTGACGTAGATCTGTCAGGCTTTTCAGATCCTAGTTTCACCGTCTGTTTTCATCAGAAAAGGTGAAAGGCAGGAGAAAGGTGTAGGAGACTGTTATGTTCAGCCTGCATGAAAAACTCAGAGTGACTGATCATTTTCAAAAATAATAAGTAAAAGATGGGTTTCTCAATGAAGGACCTCTTTAAGTATTTGCCCCACAGAGGTGTACATCATGTAGCAGGTTCCTGCTGTTTATTAAGGCAAATTATCAGTTAATTGAAAAATGCATTAAAACACAACAAGAGATCTAGATAAAAATGGCAAATCTAGACCTAAAGAGCTCATCTAACAGTTTTATTCTTTCAGCAAACACATTTTAGATACCTATTATTAAAGGTTTTAAGAAAATATTGAAATTTATCAAAATGCAAATAAATGTAATGATTTACAAACACAAACTGCATGTCCAAACACCTATCTGGGACAGATTAAGGCAGAATGTAGGAACTATTTTACAAAATCAAAAACAACATTTGACCGAAAGAACGAGATTGCAAATACAAGCGGCCAAAATGAGTTTCCTCCGTAGGGTGGCTGAGCTCAGCCTTAGAGATAAGGTGAGGAGCTCGGACATTCGGGAGGGACTCGGAGTAGAACCGCTGCTCCTCCGGATCGAAAGGAGTCAGTTGAGGTGGTTTGGGCATCTGGTCAGGATGCCTCCTGGACTGGGGAGGTGTTTTGGGCATGTCCTGCTGGCAGGAGGCCCCCGGGTCGACCCAGGACACGTTGGAGAGGTTACATCTCCAATCTGGTCCGGGAACGCCTTGGGGTCCTGCCAGAGGAACCGGTGGAGGTGGCTGGGGAGAGGATGGTCTGGAGCTCCCTAGTTGGGATGCTGCCCCCGCAGCCGTAAGAGATGAAACATACACGATCACCAGAACATTTAAAAACAAAAACGTGATAAAGGCCAACACCATGAAATGCAGTGATTGCTTTGAACATAAAGTAAAAACAAAGTTGTCAGCGGTGACATCGTTATTCTCATCTGTGCTTCTTTCTGCCCTCTTGAGACTATTCTGTATTTTTAAAGCAAATTATTTAATTGAGCCTAATTGCATTTACTTTCAAACTCTGTAATGATTAAGAAAATCTTGTAATAAAAAGCCATTTTTCTGTATACAAAACAGCTTTCAACTTGTGACCTGCATCATAATTCATGTAAACTGTTTAAACTGCTTCACAAATAAAAAACAGAGCCCAAATCCTGCCACTTTACCCACGCTGAACTGTTAATAGTGTAAGAATCCCCCAGACAAAATAAAACTTCAAATTCAAGGACTCATTCTTTTAATCTAACAATCATTTCATATTTTACAGTGTATGCATATTACAGATTAGCTCCAAATATATGAGTTTCCACGGACAGACAGAAGCGTGTTTAGGTTTTGATCCCTACAGGATAAAAATGTCTTTATGATAAAAGTTAAAGCTGTTAAAGCTCTGAGAAAAACGCTGACACCTTGGAAACATCTGTAAAACGTATGTGTATCTGAACATTAAAATGACTCGATTAACCTAACTCAAACAGCAAAAAGAGGAGAGATATACGCCGAGTGACGGGTTCACTCAGGAGTGTCTGCAGTGCCTAAAATGTTCACTTGTTCACTAATGGTGAACTATTTGTTCAGTCGTGGATCAGACTCAGCTTGTGTGTGTGTGTCCCCATAGATGGTCTGGGTGCCTTACTCGCGTACTTTTAATTTCCCAAACACTGCATTAATAATTAAGCTTTAACATTTTTTAAATTGATTCATAATCACAATACATCAAAAATTCCATTAAACCGCAATCAGGTGTCAAGAAAAGAAGCTCTTCATCACAAAGTTAACTCTTTTAATGTTGTTATTTGCTTCTGATCTACAAAAACAACAACCAAACATCAGCTAGCCAACACAAAAAAAAAATTCTACTTAGAACACCACGTGACGAGCTGCGATCCAAACCAACCGCTGGAGAATGAGGACCACAATCCTGTTCATGAGAGCAGTCGGATTACATTGTCATCCAGCAAATATTTAGGAGCTCTTCCAAAACACTCAACATTTTAACTGGCTCCAGGAGTTCCCCTGGAGAGAGAGACAGAGCAGAGGGTTCGAGAGCACGCAGACAGACACAAAAACTCCTGCCTGCCAGCAACAAGCGTCTCTCGCTGGTCTACAGGAGACTTAATTTACAGCTGACGGGGCCACGGGTCACTATGGCACTCAGACAGAAGCCGGCTTCACTTAAGGAACACCGGAGACTCGTGTTTTCAAATTAGAATGACAACCTTTTATTGTTTTTATACACAATAACAGGCTGACTAATTACAAGAAACACCTGATTCAACAATATATTAATAGTGTAAACTCTTTCAGTGTAATCAGAAAACAAGACTGGACACTAAATGTTGTAACTTTTACAAAGAAAACATCTCATGAGACCAATTTACGTTTAAGTTTAGAGATGTTTACAGCACAAAGTTAAAAGCTTTACTTTCAGGTTGAATATATTTATTATTGTTAATCGTCTGATCCATTTCTACTACATACCATAAAATATACCACATGCTCAGCTTTTAAAATATGGGTTCATGTGTTTTTGTAGCACCACAGAAGCGTTAATAGCCACAGTCAAAGAACACAGGGCCTTAAATTTTGTCTTCAAAAGAGTGGAAACCCCCTTCATCTGCTTCACATAGGAGAAATTACTACACACTGAGCTCATTAATTACAGGAGGTGATGATTCCTATTCTTACTTTAAACTGTTTTTGCCACTTTACACTGCTGCCATTCCTTAATTTATTCCCCCTGTCCTCATCTGGAAGTGATTTCTTTGAGGGTGTGTTTACATACAGAGAAATATCATGACATTAACCTGATTAAGAGCTTATCGATATATAAACATTTCTGATTACCTGAATAAGGTCGTATAATAATTCAGCTAATCTCTGTGGAGTATTCCGATTACTGCAGCTTTATGTAGACATCAACACACCTTGATTAAAATGTTTTGTCCTACTGGAGTTTTCCTGACACTCTGCAACATAGACTGTCAACATTCTGAGCTTGGTGTGTTGGTTTAGCATCCAGAAAACAGCAGAGAACATCTCTACTAGCAGAAGCTAAGCATTAGCATTAGCAACTCCACTACTCAGCAGAACTCCTTCATGCTTGTGTCATTTGTAGAGATAAAACATTGACATTGCAAAGCAAACAGAGTCAATGGTAGAGTCACGTTGCAGTTAGCTAATCCGGGGCGAGATATCAGGAAATAAGACTTCCTGAGCCTGAATACTGGGCACTGGGGTCCCAGAGTATGACTTACAAGGCATTCATTCCTACTAGAGACTAGGGTTGTCACGGTAACCGGTGTAGCAGTAAACCCCGGGAAAAAAGTTGACAATAATAATAACCGTCTTGTTTTTTAAAATATATATTATCTCGGTGGATTACCGTGGCTGCGGTGTAGGCGCGGTGACCCTTACCAGCCACCGTATCATCTGCAGAAGTTGCCGGCAGCACATGCGCACTTTGTTGTTTACAGCCAAAACTTTCTTGAAGCTAAGCTGAAATAATGGCCAAAGGAGGAGACGGCAGCACTCAGGACATTTATTATCCCTCAAAGAAGACAAAGTCGATAGTACGGGCATGTTTTGGATATTTGAAGAATTCCGAGGGACAGTTGATAGAAGATGGCTATCCTATTCGCAGCACGAGCAGAAAAAGTGTCTGTGAAAGGCAGCAACGCTTCAAATCTCATGACACATCTGCGTGACCATCACCCACAACTCTACAGTCAACACAAGGCAAGTTAACGTTAGCGTTTTAGCTAAAATGCGCGATCCGAGGATTTGGGTTGAGGGAGAATGCAACGAGTCGCTATATAAAGCAGCTGCAGCGCCGCTACCTGCATGTAAACCGTGTAACGGACACCCCCATGTTGAAATGACGCTATGCATTACGGGGCAGATAAGAGTTGGTCTCTCTCCGAGAATAATTATGAATTTAACAATGATTACTGCCTGATGACATTTTCCCTAATGCAAAGCTCACTGGTAAGGACACAAACCGAGGACAATATTTTCCTGATATAGGGTTTATTACTCAAGCAAGGGTA